TCAACCACTGCGCCACCAGGGAAGCCCCAAAACAATGTTTTTGAGTAAGGGATGGCAGACAGAAAATATGATGTAGTTCACAAATGGAGGGATTGGTTACAACAAGTTTATCTAGTAATTGGTGGGAAATATATGGGTACAGGGCTTGGTGGGTTGGGGAGATGGGGTAGGGGAAGTCTCTGGCAGTTTTCTTCTGGTGCTTCAGTTTTCTTACTGAAGTAGCATGCAAGGTCATCAGAGGTTGAAGAAGAGGATGTACCAGAAGTCGCAGGATAAAGGAGAAAGAACTAATGGTCTAGGAGAGTGGGAGAGTAAATTAAACTAGGGAAATATATAGTATGACTACTGGGAGGCATTAAAGGGTTCACTGTCACACATTTAAAGTAAAATTAGTCATCAAGGTTGAATGCTTTTTTTCCTTAGACACCTTTAATTACTAGGCTTCAATAAAGAAAAAGGAGAAAGAAAAGAGTAAGGCCAGTGAAGGGTGGTACGATAAATGGATCTTACAATTTATTGGTAGACAGAATGTTTTTAGGCTTGCTGGAGGTAGAATTCTAGAGGGAGTAAAGCTGAAAAGACATGAGGTGATAATCAGAGAATGAAATGTATGAAACTGAGATTGTGAGGTGGGCATATTAATAGCTTCAGTGGTGGCAAAAAACCCAACTGAAAACATCTATTAGGAATATTTTAAAAATATACTGTACATAGCTCCCTAAAAGATTATGAAAGTTTACAAAGAGAAAAAACAGTAAGTGATAAAGTAGAGGGGTAAAACATTAAAAATGCAGACCAATAATACCCACTATGGATTCTAACAGCCCAAAACATAACCTAGTTGTTCATGTCCTAAGAGAACAAGATATTAACTACCAGAGTATTCCACAGTTAGACCAGATGAACTGCTCTAGAGCATGGACTCTTCCACATAGTGTTTGCTGCATAAGGATAAGGGAATCTGGTAAATATAATGAGCAGTATTCTCAGCAGCAATTTTTATAAACCTATTAACCAACATTTTCAAATTAGAAAGGTTGATCAAAGGAGCATTTTTACACAAGTTACCCATGCAGAACATCCAAGTTAAACCAGACAAGACCACTCCAATGATATTTCTAAATCAGAAATGGTGGAGCCAGAATGTACTGAGCCTCAAAAGACAAAACGGTGTATTTTTCCAGATGTAAATCATACATTAAAAATAGTGAACCAAACCCTAACACATCTCAATCTGATAATTTTTCAAATAGAAATAGAAAGGGGCTGGAGTTCAGGAAAGAACAGTCTCGTCCACAGTCTAGAATTCTATGTACCATCCCCATTCAATACTGTTTATAAAGTATCAGTCCATGCAGAAGAATTTGCATCTAATTAATTTTTGATTAACAATTAATACTGGAAAATAGGGCTTCCCTGGTGGCGCAGTGGTTGAGAGTCTGCCTGCTGATGCAGGGGACACGGGTTCGTGCCGCGGTCCGGGAGGATCCCACATGCCGCGGAGCAGCTGGGCCTGTGAGCCATGGCCGCTGAGCCTGCGCGTCCAGAGCCTGTGCTCCGCAACAGGAGAGGCCACAACAGTGAGAGGCCCACGTACCGAAAAAGAAAAAAAAAAAAAAACTGGAAAATATGCAATGACATTGAAAGAAATTCCTTTTGAATTGCTTTAAATCTGAGGCTCTGAAAGCATGACCATCTAGGTTAAGAAAGACTGGCAAGAATTCAAGGAAAAAACACTTATGTATTGCTGATGGTAGTAGGAAAATATTCTGAAAGTATCAAATTTAAAATATACTGACCTAAGTGAAGAAACTTACTCCATAAAAATAAAAGCACCAAAATATAAAGAAACATGTATAATGATGTTTATTGCAACATTATTTGTAGTGACAAAGCTGGAAACAAACCTACTATGGAGTATATTATGCAGTTATAAATCACTATCAGTTGACAATATTCTTCACTTATTGAGAGAGGGAAAAGCAAGTATTAGAGTAATATGTTCGCATGATTCTAATTTTTAAAAAGTACAGTTTTCATATACATGGATATTTATTTGTTCAACAAATGTTTACTAACATGCCAGGCACCATTTTGTAGTTCATACAATCTAGTGGTAGAGAGAGACAAACAAGCTAACTAAGTAAAATACAGTATTTAGAATATTAGAACATGAAAATAAAGAAGGGAAGAAGAGTAGGAAGAATGTGAAAGGGAGACTAAAATATGAGGCAAGTGAAGTGACATTCAAGGCAGAAGGCATAGCAAGAGCAAAAAGGATGGTCATTATGGATAGAGCAAAGTGACCAAGAGAAAGTAGTAAAATAAGATCAGACAGGAGTAAGAAGTGGTGTGAGTGGGCAGAACATGTAAGGTCTTTAAAGGTTTTAAAGGTCAGAAGTGAGGACTTTTAGTTAATTACCATACCAGGTTTTGAACTTCAGTTACCTTACAATGATGGCGTATGCTGTTCTTTTAGTTATCTTTGCATAGTTCACAGTTTAAACTGAACACATTATTGTAATAAAGAAAAAAGAAAATAAATCATTGAAGACATGCACAATAGGACATTCCTAAAAGCTGCTTCTTGACTTTGATTCACAGGTATGCAGTAAATCTCTAAATGTACTTCATGTAACGTATAAACAACAAAGGTATGAAACAATTAAAGATTTTATTTAAAAACAGATATCTATGTCTCAGCTATAGAAAGGATGTCTTCTAAGATTTATAAAAATGCAAAAAGAAACAATATTATGAAATAAATTAGCGATTCTAACATATAAAAATGAGAGAGTAATGCAAAAACAGGATATTATAATATTATAAGGAGAAAGCACTAAAATGTAGGTTGACTTCAATTAAGGGAGGAGAGGAAAGCAGGGAATTTAGAATTAAAAAAAGTGGATTTAAATCTTAGCCTAGCTTCGGCAAGTTACTTAACTTCCATAGATTCAGTTTCTCCATCTGTAATATGAGGGTAATAATATTTCTTACAGAGAAGACTCAAATAATACATATTCTGTCATACAACTTGGCCCTATTATATCGCCTGGTATTTAGTGAACATTAAATAAATATTTGATGAAACTGAATATTAAAAATAGGTATAGTTACAATAATTATAACCATATCTGTTCTCAATGTGTTCAATTAAAACTTCAAAGTGGCCAAAAAAGCTAATTTTCATTTGATCAGAATCTAAACTAGAAAGTTTTTAAAATGAAGAACCTCTGGGGCTTCCCTGGTGGCGCAGTGGTTGAGAGTCCGCCTGCCGATGCAGGGGACACTGGTTCGTGCCCCAGTCCGGGAAGATCCCACATGCCGCAGAGCGGCTGGGCCCGTGGCCATGGCCGCTGAGCCTGCGTGTCCGGAGCCTGTGCTCCGCAACGGGAGAGGCCACAACAGTGAGAGGCCCGCATACCGGAAAAAAAAAAAAAAAAAAAAAGAACCTCTGATTTTAAATATATTTTTCAGAATACTGTATTTTCACATTGACTTTAGAACAAAATGTTTAAAATAATTCATACTTTCTTTATGTGAGATGAAATATATAGCTTAACAAAGTCAGTAAGTCTAATTAAAAAGAATGGACTTGACTCAAATGAAAAATGTTATATATACAATTGACCTGTGAACAACACTGTGCAGGCCCACTTTATGCGGATTCTTTAAAATGAATAAGTACTACAGTACTACATAATCTGTGGTTGGTTGAAATCCAGGGACTTGAAACTGAAGATATGGAGGGCCCAAGTATAAAGTTACACATTGCTTTTCAACTGCATGGGGGGGGGGTGCCCCAGCCCCCACTATCACTGCATATCCTTTATAAATCTAAAAAGTATATGTTAAATTTCATAGCATTTTTAACCTGTTTTAAAAAGATGAAATATGGCAGAATATATATTCCATAATATTCAATACCAACCAATTCTTTTCCTACTATTACATTATAGAGTACAGTTATTGATAGGAACAGAGAGTAAAGAAGCAGCTATGGGACTGCCCAAACTGTACATTGTTTGGAGTATTTTACTCCCCATGGGAATAAATGGGAATGATACTGTAGTGTGCCTGAAAGAGAAAAATACAAGAGAAATCATCCATTTAAAAAGGTACACATTAAAGGGCAGGAAAGGAATAAAGAGGAATAAAGACACAGACGTAGAGAATGGACTTGAGAACACGGGGAGGGGGAAAGGTAAGCTGGGACGAAGTGAGAGAGTGGCATGGACTTATATATACTACCAAATGTAAAATAGATAGCTAGTGGGAAGCAGTCGCATAGCACAGGGAGATCAGCTCCGTTGCTTTGTGACCACCTAGAGGGGTGGGATAGGGAGGGTGGGAGGGAGATACAAGAGGGAGGAGATATGGGGATATATGTATATGTATCGCTGATTCACTTTGTTATAAAGCAGAAACTAACACACTATTGTAAAGCAATTCTACTCTAATAAAGATGTTAAAAAAATAATAGATATACAATACATTTCATGCATTTAAATCGTACAATTTTATAAAAATAAAATAAAATAAAAAGGTGCGCATTAAACATTCCATCAACTGGTCGTATTTCACTAGTTGGTCATGGCTTGGTAGTGTATGCCTTCCTAGTGTATTTGGTACTTCTGATAAATCCGCTGGCAACAAATTACAAGGTCTAGGATCAATGAAGTACAGAGTTGGATGGGGATTAAGAGAACATTAGTTGAGATAATTGAGCATTAGAGGCTAGGTTCCCTGACTTGCAGATCAATGCAATTCCTACAATAATTTTGTTAATTCGATTATAAAGAAAACTATTTTAATGATATAATGATGTTTAAAATACTCATAATCCTCTCCACTATCTGAGCCAAACTTGGAGAGAAAAATCATGTACATAATTTAAAGCAAAACCAAACCAAAACAAAAAACCACAGATTACAAATTAGGAGGAAGAGAAGCTGAAAGGAAAAAAGTAGGTATTTTTCATATGTAAAGGTTACCATTACCTTTTCCAAGTCTAACTCCTCTAATAAAATGCTGGCATTTTTGTTTGCTTCAGCAGCCTGTCTATCTTTGGCTTGTACTATCGACTCCATACAAAGGTGGCACTTCTTCAGCATCTCCTAAAATGAAAAATTAAGATGTTTCCAGACTCAAAAAATTAACATTTAGAGAGATTCCTGAAAACATGAAAATATTAATTAAGGTACTTGAATGAACATAAGCAATAAAGATCAGTAGTAAGGCAAAAAAAGAATGCAAATAAAAACATAATTTAAATGGTATATTTTTAAAAATACATTAGCAAAGAGCCTCTATTGTTCTTCAAAATAATATCCATTTGACTGGTACTAAAATTATTTACTCCTGTTATTTAAATATAAGAAAGCATACTATAAATAGAGCTGCAATAATCTGTCAGCTGGTTAATGGGCTAAAGGAAAAAGTCAACATCAACAAAAAAAATAGGTTTAAAACAATTTAAAATACTTATTTGGCAAGAACTGTTCTCAAATATTTAAGCTTTGTTGCTATAACTTCTTGTGCTGGAATCATTCATAAAAAGCATGTATTTATAGACATCTCAGTGATTTCATTCTTAGAACATACAGTTTTTGACAGGAAAGGGATATTTCCCTATTAAGACAAAAGCTTTATTTTAAATCTCTGCCCCCCTTCCATAAGGGGTATCTAGGAACATTAATTGTCATAAATGAATCTAGAGGCAGGCAAGACAGTGGATTAGCTATTTTAATAAAACTTATGGGAAAAAGCTGTTCACTATCATGTGATAACTGCTGAGAAAATTAAAGACATTTTTAGATTTTCAGAGGCATGTCTTAGGATTTTATTCAAATATTTTGATCTCAATTAGAATTCTAAAGGGATTTATTTTTCCTTACTTTCCCTGCAAAAATCCTAGCAAATTCATTCTTAAACTGACAGTTACTCCAACTTTTATATTATGTTGAACATGTTAAGAGTTTTCTTGACCATAATTAAAAGTACTGTGTTAATTTTTGTTTAGGTATAAAAAAAATCCACTGACTTGTTCCTCTCAGAAGAGATATCTGTCTGAATAGATTACAGCACTAATGAATAGTAACAATAATTTGCTTTAGATTGTTTAGTATTTACATTAAAATTAAATTAGCTTAAGTACTATTTAAAAAGATAAAGTAATTCTAAAACAGAAAATGTTTTATTACTTCATGAGGTAAGTAAATCATCTGAAGAGATTCTTAAATATCATACTTCATTCCCAAATCCTAGATAAATGAAAAGTGCTATGTACCACACATTATTGTTCAAACTAAGACTTTTTTTATCTTAGTGTGGAATATACATATATATGAAAAGCCAAATGGGATCCCAAGCTCATATAATGGGGATGAATTTAATCAGTATATTACCTTATCAGTGATCGTTGCTATGTATCTCATACATTCAGAATCTGATGGAAACTGATTGACTTCTTTGACTAAGTAGCGCACCACCTTCACATGACCCTAAAAAATAGATATCAGTGTCAGACTGAAAACAGACTCTATCAGGATTCAGTAAATCTAGTCTGTCTTAACTAAGATTCCATTAACATTAGTGCCACAAAATAAAGACTTAAATTGGGTATTATTCGCACTTTAAATGAAAAAGAGACAGGCTTCGGTTCTAATAAGTTAGATAAATCTACATTGTTCATTTTCATCCTACCCTCCAAAAAAAAAAAAATACAGAATAACCTGACCTAAAATTCTAAACCATTCTGAATTTAAAAAAACAATAAAGTCAGTATGAAGAAATGCAGGATACGTGTGAAAGAAAAGAAAAACCTCATCTTTTTTTTCCTAGCTAATTCATTAGAACTGAGTATCGTGTTTCAATTTTAAGCATTAAAAGAGTAGAAATAACAATTTTGATCTTTCTTTGAGATAAAAACTGAATGCATAGCACTATACTAGGTAGTGCAAAAGAAATAACATACACTTTCCTAAGGCTTGAGCGATGATTATATTATTCACTGTAACACAGTTCACTAAGTTCAAAATCTTTAGACCAGCCTTCAAGAGGCTTTCTACTTTCTCTAATCCACACTATTACTGACACAACACATATAAACGGATGAATAAACATCTGTTTATATTTAGTACATTTCCTCTATTGCATTTATTTCTTCCTTCTCATCTGCATCCTTTTGAACTATCCCTATCTTTTAATGAATAGCTTAAATGCCATTTGCACCTTTCCTTGATATCTCACCAACACTTCTACAGTATTTAAACTATTTATATGGGACAACTCATACAGTTACCTGACTTTGTGTGTGGATCCCTGATTATTACATTTTGTACAAAAAGCAACAGTTGGAATCTGTACAATGTAATATGCCAACAATTACAGTTGTACATGGTAGGTACTAAGAAAAATAATGGAATGAATACAAAGAGTATAAAAGATAAGTGCCTTTCTTAAGGAGCTAAGTCTATTTGGAAAGATGAGATATATGCATGTTAGATGTTAAGGTAATAACAATATATATTTGTCAAAATAAATGATAAAGATAATAATGAATTGTAGAATTTCTACAACCTTTAAGAGATCAGATATCTCAATGTGAGCTCAAATGGAATGGGAAGAGTTTCTATAGAAGGGGAGATTTACACTGTACCCAAAGAATGAGTAATTTTGGAAGAATGAGGAAGGACATGGGCATTCCCAAGATGAGAACAAAGGTGCTATGGGAGACAATGACAAAAGATCAAGCAAGGAGAAGACTCCACATTAGGGACTCAATGGGAGATGAGTTCTAAAAGCACTAGATTGGGCTTTGAATAACAAACTAAGATTGGATTTCAAAGGATTACAGAGACTGGGGAGACATGAAAAGGTACTTGAAGAGGATACTAACATAGTGAAATGGTTTGGATGATAAACTTTATATGCTAGCTTGCTGGGAGAAGAGGTAGGTAGCCACTGAGAATAAGTTTGATTAGCAAGGAAAAAAAAATTCAGAGAGTCAGTGGGAAGCTAGTCTAGAACACCCAGGGAGGAGGTGGTATAAAGAACAAGAGTCAGAGAGAATAATAAGAGAAAAAGGAAAAGATGATTTTTTTACAATTTATATATTAAAAATTTTCAATACAACAAAGTAATTTGGAATCTATAAGAGATTTTACCTACGTGAATGACAAAACTCAAAATTATACCTACAGAATGACAAAACTCAAAATTATAATCCCTGGAATAGTAGTCTGGCTTCCCCAATAACAAATCAGACCTGCATTTAAGAGATCAACCAAAATATTAAATCAAATTACTTATACACAGTTCTGTGCTATGCATTACAGAAAGTTTCAGTTTTACAAAATTTATTTCTACTTCTGAAGGTTTCAAATACTGGCAGCTGAATTTTCATTTTTCCTTTTTTCCTAGAAATTAAAGTGAATAATTAAAAATGAAATCAATTTAAGCTAAACTTTTCTCTGCTGTGCTAATACAAGAAAACACTCATTCATAAACAAGTAATTAATTACTTAGTTGGATTTATATTTTGTGAAAGATTAAGATTGCAACTAGATTTTGAAAATACTATTCGAACAACTTTTTAAAAGTTTACTTAGCTTTGACTTCCAATATGGATACTATTAATGGCTTTTCTGGCATACCTGTATCTACCTTTCAATGTTGCCATCAGAGTGATTATTTGCTTATTATTTTACTGCTTTCATCACTACTGTTAGATCGTAAAATGAGAGTCTTTAGTGATAATTAAATTATGCACTTCCTAGCCTAAGTGAAAAATATCCAAGTGACTGAGAATGAAAGACTTCTACCTTTCTAAATGCTGCCATAAGAGGAGTTATCTTGCGGTTATCAGCTGCATCCACATCTGCACCTGCTTGCACCAGTAACTGAACCACATCAAGGTGTCCACCATTTGCTGCCAGCCACAATGGAGTGTTCCCCTTCTTGTTACGTACATCAATGTGAGCACCCCTAAATGAATGACACAAATATCACTTTTAAATGAAATGACACAGATAATAAAAAAAATCAACTATGAATTTTGTGAAAATATTTTGTAAAGGAAAAAATTGTTTAAAATATATAGGACTAAAATATATTTCTCTAACAGAATTACATTACAAAGAATTTCCAGTCATCAAATTAAAAGCCACTGAATCAAAACTAATGATATATCAATAATTGCTTTTCTTATTTTAAAAATAATGACTCTTTGTGCATAATTCTGAGCTTAAAATGCTGAGAAAATGTAAAATTTTCTTTAGTGAAAAATAATGGTACATCCTGTTAATATCATAATATATTAAACAGTATCCTAGAGCACAAACAGTATCCTATGAGGTGATTATATCTTTCAGATTATTTGTATTCATGTATTTATATTATGTGGCTTCGTAAAAGAATGAATCTTAAAATAACATGAAGGTTTAGCACTCAGTGGGCATCATGGTAGATAAGACTCATGGTAAATAACTAGTTGATAGTAGCTACTACTAATTACTACTGTTAGGACACCATGCAAAAGTCTTTCAGACTGTTAAAGTAGGAAATCTAATTTAGCAGACAAGCAACTTTGAAAGACTGGCAAGTAACTCCTAAGTGACTGAAAACAAAAAATATCCTGGACTCTATCTCATATCTTGAACAGTTCCATAACTGTCTCTTAAAAGCCCTAATTACAGAACAAGAAAATCAACAATGAAGCCTTAGATTATTGCCAGACTTACAAGACTTAAGGTGATATCTTTGCAAAACTGTGTGGGAGATGTGAATATGGATGACAATAGATGGATGTTCAAATAGCTTATTATAGTACTTTAAAAGTGTATACACAGACAAAAAAGGAAGAAAAGAAGTATTTCTAGATTGCACTGAAATATATTAAACAATGCAGCATAGCTCTGGATGGGTGGAAAATAATAGAGATAGGTTTAAAACATAAAAAAATACACTGCAGTTTATAGAAGTAATCACATTTGATTTTTTAATAGTTCAATTTGCACAGAGAGTAGTAATCACTAGTAATACCATGTTCATATATGAAGGGTATGGTAGCATCATACCTGCCAATGAGAAGCTCACAGAATTTATAATGCCCTTTATCTGCTGCTATGGTTAAAGCTGTATCTCTCGAGGAGGGCACTGGAGGGGCATTAACATCAGCACCTTTATCCAAAAGAACTCGGCCCACCTCTGCATATCCACCAGAGGCAGCTTCCATTAGCGGTGTGAGGCCAGTCTAGGTTTGGTGAAAAATAAAAAACAACACGTAAGAGACCAGAAAGTACTAAAATGTTAAAGAACAACGATCTGGGGGAGCAATACGGTACAGCTGTTACAAAATTCACGACTAAATTTCAGCACTGACATTGCTAACCTCTCTCAGTTACAGTGAGGTCTACTGAAAGCAGATGATTCTACCTAATGTCCATTTGTTGGTAAAAATTTTAAGACACATGTACTTGGCATATAACTGGCACTTAATAAATGCTCCCTCTCTTCTCTTTCATTATACTACATAGTTTTCAGCTGATAACCCCAATGTCATTATTACCTATAAAAATCTATTGCTGAGGTATTTCAAGAGTTAATGCTTAACTGAGTCATACAGAATGATTTGTTTATATATGTAAGAGATAAATGTTACTACAAAGTACTAGAAGTATAATTAGCATATTGCCAATGTACACCTTAAATGTCAAAGCAATAAACCCATGGGTAAATCTCAGACTTTTTCTTACCTTAGCTCTGTGTTCCACATTTGCTTTTCTATCAAGCAGAAGACTAACCACTTCAGTTCTTCCTTGGAAGCAGGCTAAGGTAAGGGCAGTGTTCCGATTGGTTTCTATTTGAGCATTTATGTCAGAGCCCATGTCTAACAGGAGCTTAACGGCAGCTGTGTGCCCATTCATAGCTGCTAACATCAGAGGAGAAATGCCCAATTTGCTACCAGTTCTGGGGGTGGAAGTATGGGGAGAACAAAGGGAAAAATATATTTTTTATTTTTATTTATTTATTTAAAAAAATTTTTTTTTATTTTTTGCGGTACACGGGCCTCTCACTGTTGTGGCCTCTCCCGTTGCGGAGCACAGGCTCCGGATGCACAGGCTCAGCGGCCATGGCTCACGGGCCCAGCCGCTCCGCGGCATGTGGGATCCTCCCGGACCGGGGCACGAACCCATGTCCCCTGCATCGGTAGACGGACTCTCAACCACTGCGCCACCAGGGAAGCCCAATATATTTTTTAAATGTCCCAGAAAAACTAGATGATAATACAGAACTCTATCTTAGGATTTAAGATTCTTTATTCTGCAGAATTATTTAAAATAATCATTCTTCTCAGCCCTACTAAATCTTTGAGATATTACCAAGACTACACTACAAATCTTTTACTACCCAGAACTAGAATACTTTCTGTATCTCGTTCAACATAATGACTTGGGCTGAAAGTGATAAATTATTAAGTCATTATTAAAATGAACTTTCCATTCTAAAGTATATACTTGCTTGCTAATAAAAACATAAGACAGATGTGTTTACGTTTATCATAAGAAATAAAGTGATAATTTTTTCAAGTTCTATGTCAACAATTTTAAACACTTAAATTTGAATTCTAAATTTGTAATGAAGGCATTTCCTAAATATGGCATTAAAAAGTGTGCTACAAATATCTTTAACATAACACTCTTAAGGGACTTGGAGAGAGAGAATAAAACTTGCCTAGAATTAATCTCAGCTCCTGCATTTAGTAATATTTTGATAATGTTCACATAGCCACCAGAAGCAGCCAGGCTTAGAGGTGTGTAATCAGAAACATTCCTGTGCTCTTTATTTGCCCCTCGAGCTAACAATAGCTCCACCACCTGGAAAAAGAAAAGGAAAAAATGTGTTTTCTTCTTATGGTGAGACAACTTGCAAGGTGTATATTTCTGATTTCTCTTTTTTTCTGCTTTATTGTATAACAAAAGAAGGGGAAAGTCATTCATCCTTTGCACAAAATCAGTCTCAAATGAAAGCAAAAGGTCTTAGAGGCCGATAAAGGAATCGTTTCTCAAGTAAAATCCATTTTGGAATCTGTTGAAATGGCACAGTGTTTTCATTGAAAGATCTTGACCTCATGTGTTCTTGTGCAATGCTGTTTTGGAAATTAGTATTTCTGTATTATTCCACCACACAGTGGTAAAACAGAATAAGATTTTTTCATTTATACATGTAAATGTCCTTAAAATATTTTTTAAACTTAAAATCAAAAACTAAATGTTAAAAACATTTTTGGAATAAAGCTAACACTTATCTTCCCCCAACATTTTACCATAAAAATTTTTAAGCACACAGAAAAGTTGAAAAAAATTTACAATTTACAATCATCACCTAGATTCTACCATTAACATTCTCCTCTACTTACTTTATCACATTTATTCGTCTGTCCATCATTTTTTGATGCATTTCATTTCTAAGTAAATTGTAGACACCTGCAATTTCCCTTAAACACATCAGCACGTGTACCATGAACTAAACTCTTACTTGCTTTTAGGCTTTTTAGGTTTTTTTTAGGTGAAATTTGTAACTTTCAATAAATGCACAAAACTTAAGTGTATATTCACTGAGTATCGAGAAACGCATAAACCTAATTTGTATCGAGAAACGCATAAACCTAATTTAAATCTGTTATTTACTCATGTTCTTTCTCAGTCAATCCTACCCAAAGATTAGTTTCATTTACCATAGATCTTCATATAAATGAATCACAGAGTGTTTGAAAGTCAACTGTGTGTATTGCGTAGCATTCCATTATGTGAATGTGCTGCTTTATCCCTTCTACTGATAAACATCTCTACTGTTTCTAGTTTTGGGCAATTCTGAATAAAGTTTCCATGAACATTTCTTGTGGAAATATATTTTCATTGCTCATGGGCTCCACCTAGCAGCAGAATTTCTGGGTGCATGTTTAGTTAAGAAATTGCCAAACCTGTTCCTAAAGTGGTTGTACTATTTACACTCTCATCAACAAGGAGTTCTGGTTACTCCACATCCTCAGCAAAATTTGGTATTGTCAATCTTTATAATTTTAGCCATTCTAGTGGATGTAGCTGGTGGTATCTCACTGGGGTCTTAATTTGCATTCCCTGATTGCTGAGAATATTTAGCATTTATTTAAGTGCCATTCATAGATCTTTTGTCTATTATGCCATTTAATGCACAAAAAAACTCTTTGACACAGGTACTAGCATCTTATCTTCATTTTACAAATGAGGCATAAGGAAGTTAAGGATTGCTCAAGCTCATAGCACTTATCCTTGCTCTTACTGTTAATAATATATCTAACTGGGAAATAAATAAATGTTAATGAACAGTGCTTTGCCTTACTACCAGCTAAAACTTTACTCGTTTGAATAAAGCTATGACCAATTTTATTTTATTTTTGTCTTTTTTTACGTTCACATTCATAAGCATTTTCTATTTTAAATTTCATTTAAAAAATTTTTTTTATTGAAGTGTAATTGATTTACAAAGTTGTGTTAGTTTCAGGTGTACAGCAAAGTGATTCAATTATACATACATATACATACTTTTTTTTTCCAGATTCTTTTACTTAGAGGTTACTATAAAATATTGAGTATAGTTCCCTGTGCTATACAGTAGGTCCTTGTTGGTCATCTATTCCATACGCAGCAGTGTGTATATGTTAATCCCAAACTCCTAATTTATCCCTCTCCCACTCCTTTCTCCTTTGGTAACCATTAATTTGTTTTCTGTGTCTGTGGGTCTATTTCTGTTTTGTATATAAGTTCATTTGTATTTTTTTTTTTAAGATTCCATGTATAAGCGATATGATTCTTATCTTTCTCTGAAGCTATGACTAATTTTAGATGACTTTCTATCACATTTTTGCTTTTAGAGTCAGTAAGACTAACTGGCTTATGTAACAACATCATAAAAACAAGCCCCCAAAATGGCATTAGGCTATTTTATTTTACAAAGAGTCCCTTAAGCAATAAAGTAGAAAACCCTAATCAAATTTCTAAAGTTTTCTTAGTTCTTTTATGCAAAGATAACTGACCCTAGTTATCTCTCAGAGGGAATGGTCTATTCCCCAAAAGTAATAAACATTCAATATAAAAGAATTATTTTTTGATTTTATAGTAAAATGACTTTCTAATATTTTATTAATTACTGCAAAATACTTTACTGTTCTAATGACACCAAATAAAAGCAAGAGTGTTATAGGCAAAATTATTACCCTAAAAGACTTCTATAATTATCATTACCGCATCTGTTACATTTTAGTAAGAATACATAAAGATTACAGTAGACTATAGGCTTTAACATTGCTTTGAAAGGAAGAAAATCAACTCATTTCTTTTTGATTCAATATTGAAAAATGTTATGAGACAAGTATGATTTCAAACCACACAGTGATTGAAAATTTCAGTTAAGTCAAAATTTTACTTCCATTATATATCAAAAACAGAACATTTACATTTCCGACTGACAGAATCACCTCCACTGTGGAATACAGAAAATAATTAGAATGGTGAAATAAAAAAGAAAAAGATTTTTAAGCTGAGGGTAGGAAACTCACCTGGAATGACCTAGAGTGCTTCCTAAATATAAGATTCAACAACTCCCTAACTGAGAAGTTACCAATCCATAGAGACAGCACGACTGGTGAATAGAATTGGATTTAAAAAAGTGATTTAAAATGAGGTTATCCAACTAATTATTAAATGCCAGAAGAATGAGGTTATCCAACTGATTATTAAATGTCCGAAGAAGACACACAATGGAGCAAACAGAGGCTGAGCTTAAGTACCTTTCACACTAAGTACTCTGGGACAGGAAAAGATGAGTGAATATAGGCCCCACTTATCAGGAGCTTGCTGATTTGATTTGGGATGTCTTAATCATTCTCTTAGCCTGAATGCAATATAGAGGGATTCCTATGGCAGTTCGTACTTTCAGATGAGTAGGATAATAAACAATGTATAATTTTTCTGGCAAGACAGTTTATAACACTAATTCTTATCCTTTTGCTAAAAGATTATAGTCTCAGTTACTGTGATAAATCTTAATGTCTGTCCACTGTTACCACAAAGTCATATAAATTAAAGTGCACATCTGTTAAACAGAGAGAAAAAAAAAAAATTACACTTGGGGACAATACCTCCTGTCTTCCCCCAGAACAAGCCAAAGATAGCGGTGTGTCCTTGGTTCTTTCTGACTGGGCTTCAATGTCTGCACCATTGTCCAGCAATATTTCCACAACACCAACATGACCAGCTGTAGCAGCCAAGATGAGCGGAGTAAAACCTGGAGTAAAATAAAGATCTTCTTAGCTAAGCAAAGAAACAGTGCTGTTGTCCATCAAAATAGGGCTACAAGTAGTATTTCGTCACAGAACACAAATAATCAGAAGAAAAGTTAACAAAAGTAGGCCTTACCTTTCTTGTCTCTGTGCTCAATACTAGCTCCTCTCTCTAGCAATGTCTGTACCAGTTCCTCATGACCACCAGCACAGGCAAGCGTTAGCGCTGTGTCATGATTACTCTCAGTCTGTAAAAAATATTTGATTAGCTCATTAGACAATTAAAAATGTTAACATCAATTACATAATATGTACATATACCAAATACACACACACACACATACACACACATATATACCATTCTACTGTATCAAACATTTGCATAGTAACCTCTTTTTTTTTCCCCACTAATGGTCAACTTGTGATTTTTTTAAACTACAAATAATATTTGAACTTTATGGACAATTCTTAAAGCAAGCAAGAAGAAAAAAATGTATGATTTTCAACCATATGCTATTTTCAACTACATGTTTTAAGAAATACTACAGTGGACTCACTTTCCCTTCTACCCATAAATGGAGTAGCATAGACAAGATTTATCTTCCCATCCCAAACGACAAAAAAAGACAAACTATTTGAAATGATGTTAGTTAGACAGGCAACACATGACAGTGATCACTGAGGACAGAAATGATTAACTTATTGTATAGCCTGAAGAGTTTCCAGGCTAAAGTGCAGGAAGAGGGTACCCAAATAGAGCCTGGCATTCTCCCTGCATTGAAAAGAGAGTTTGGAGAAGTGAAGGTGGCTAGAATTCATGGGGTAGACTACTGGAGAGGAAGGCACTACATACAGAGAGCACTCCAGAGATCTGCAGAGGGCTCCCCTTGAGTCTTCAGCTGAGCTCTGATCAACATACATGCATAAGAAAAATTACTGGAGGCCAGGGAAAGACTACCAGAAGGGACTGAACAACACCTAGAGCTTACACAGAACTGGGAATAGTTTGGTTCCCACAGCCAGAGCAGAAAGACCCTCAAAACACACAAAATATCAAGAAAAATCCTCAGCCATTAGGCCAAATTAGCTACTCTGGACCCATCTAACAAAGCTGAAAAACAAGTCTTGAAATGAAAAAATTATTTCCAAGTAACTTAACTGCATTCGAGGAACAAAGCCCCTAAAAATTTAAAGGAACAAAAAAGTATAATATACAATGCATTTTGAAAGACAAACACAATTATAATTGAGACATGACACTGTTTATATACAGTTTACTTCTGACTTATGCCAGTGATAGTGACCAATAATAGATTTAACCAGTGGTCACACTCTCTCATAGTATGTGGCTACCAGAAAACATAAAATTATATGAGTCTTGCATTATTTTTTTATTGTATAGCTCTGTCTAAGCCATCTTCCCGCTTTTACATATTCACCTCTATTACAGCATTTATCACCAATCTTCCTTATGTTAATATTACTTATGTGTCTATCACCCTCAGGGGACTATAAATTCCTGGAAGGTAATAAACATGTCTTATTTATGTTTGCATTCTCTACCTATTAGTGATGTCTTGCCTAGGAAACAATAAAAGATAGTTAAGTTGAATGAATGACAGTAGCTGTAAGGGTCATAGAATAAAAGCTATCACTAATAAAACAAAGGATTACATAAATGAAATATATATTTACTGTGTTATATAATATTATATTTATTTCAGGTTTATAAGGAAGGAATCTGATTTCAGAGAAAAGGAGACAAAGGTCAGAGAAATAACCTTCCGATGGTCACACATGCTAACAATGGGTAAAGACTGGTGTAAAAAAACCCAAGAAGATCATCGATAACAAAATGCTGCTTACCCTCTTACATCAGAGAGCAGCCCTAAGGCACAGCTGACTGAGGTGAACAGAATGCTAAGTCTATCTGTATTATGTGTTCTCTATGTTAGTATAGACAATCAGTAGAAGGAAGAGTAATCTTTATTACAAAGAGTCAACTTTATGATAAAGTTTATGAGGTTTCTAGAAGTCTTCTAGGGGTTAAAGAGTAATTTAGGAAACTGGTGCCAATCGTAATAGAGAATGAAGAGACAAACAAAATTTGGAAAAGGTAAGCATGGAAAATTTTAGAGGATCAGTAAAATTTGGGTTTTTTCCACATTATAAAACATCAATTCAATTGACATTTATTAAGCACCTTTTATATTCAAAGTACTCTGCTAGATACTCTAGCGCTGACAAAGGTAAGTAAATACAGTCTCTGCTCACTAGGAGTTTACAGGTTACTGTACAGGGCAAACTTAGGTTGAAACTAAGAGAGAAATATGAACAATGTGAGAGTTGAAGGAAAAGATATTTAAAGCTGAAGAAGAGGGGGAGGTTAGTCAAATTCCCTGGGCAACTTAAAAGTAGGTAACTTCACTATATTTCTGCATTAAGGTGAAATTAAAGCAATTAATATTTTACAACAATCTTTTTAAGACAATAATGAAAGAATTTAAAGATTCTGAAGTGAGACTTTCACCGCCCCCCCAAATATATACTACACATTCCCAAAATGGTAAGAAATATCCTGATTTGCAATATATCAAGAAACAATTTAACTGAAGTAGGAGTTTGGGTTAAAATTAACTACTGATAAGATACAGGTAGTTTTGAATTAAAGAAAACAGGTGTTTTGAATATTTCTAATCAAGGAAATGAAATGTAGGTGATGACTTTCTAGAAGGCAAAGTAACACTAAAGTTATGTTATTATACTGGTTACCAAGTCACATTCTTGGTCATATATCTAAGAGAAACCTGGAAAGGAAAAAGATGCCCAGAGCTTTGTTAAGAGCTTTCCAGGTTTATATTCTAAAGAAAATTTCCATTTAGCTCACAATATCATAAAATATACCATTCTGTATCATAACATGTTATGATGATTCAGGCTTATAAAAAATGATAAAATTATATTCAATGTAAAAATATTCTGTAAATTACCAGCATGACTATTCAATTTTATAAGATTAAAAAAAAAAGCAAGAATCATAAGACAAATGAAATATTAAAGGAAAAGGCAGCTTTTAATGAGCTAGAATATAAGTGAAAAAAAATATCTGAACTATAAAAAAGTATATCTATTCATTTCATTTAAAGTAATTAAATAAATTACTTTGAAAACTATTAGGATTTAAAGGGCTGAATATTTTTTAGACCTCCATAGTCCCAAATATCTCATTCTCTAACCACGTTAGGGGTCATGTATAAGATTAAAAAGGATGGCACTTTAGGGCATTCAATAAATGAGAAAAATCAGTAAGACAGTAAATAACCTATTTAAAACACTTCATATAAACAAGTCGAACGCATGCATTTTAAAGCAGAATGCTTTAATGGCAGAGTATTTCATATTACTATTATGAGTTAAATGAGTTTTTTCCTGGGCTCCTTAATTTCTCATTAAATCGTGGTGAAACTGTTTTCCATGTTGCAAAAACAGAAGAAAAGAGAAATACCAATGACATTTATACCATTAAAGGTAAAACATAATTTTACATACTCTACAATTTCAGTCTTGATATGTAGGTTAAATTTAACATCTACCTCTTTAAAAGATAATGGATACATGTTAATTATTAAAAACAGGAAAAAAAGGCAAAATTACATGAGGAGGTATTTATTTTTCTCATTTTTGAGATGTGCTAGAATAAGTTATTCCAAGTTTAAGGAAGGCCTTTAGAAATTTGAGAATAAAATGTCAAGCAGTTCAGAACTGGAACACAAGTTCAGTTCATGCCAGAACACAGGTTTTAGAACCTATGAAGAGAACAACTAATTCTTTCTCACTTTCGGCTAGCAGAGTTAATAAAAAGTTCACACTATAAAATACAGAAAATATTTAATTCAGGGGATTCAGCTCTAACCTTCAACCAGATTTATTGTTTCATATAAAACCACAGTTCTTAAAAATCTATATGTGATTCCTAATTTCCACATCTAGAGTACCCAGGTATAAGTTTTATTACACCACTCAAGCAAAATAAAAAATTAGAGCTGTGTTATCAGAATGCATAGTAAAACAGTCCCAAATAATTACTTCAAACTATCATTTATTGATGTTTCCTAAAATAAATTTTGGTAACAGCAGTGTAGTATTAATCTTAAAAGTTTTGATAGTATCCAAACTTAATTCAATAAAACCATTACATGAGAGGTGGAGAGCCTGTGGCACACAAACCAAGGGTGATTTCTAGTTATAGAACGTAAGATTTGAGGAACGTTATAAAGAATGCAAACTCTTATCGTCAGCATTCTTTAAGGGCCAGAAATTACACATACAATTCCAGCTAATCCTTGTTTAAAATATTAGTTCCCTACTATAATGATCAACTAAAGGACCATTTTTCAAGAATCATTAGCATTTAAAAAAAGCGACTTATATACTGAGGCATTAAAAAAATCACACTTCTTTTGTTCTTCCTTAAGATTTGTGGTAAATATGCTGTATGGCCAAGGAAATATGCTAAACAGATGTAAAGATTAAACACACATGACCCTTTGCTATCTAGGCAGACCCATTTTCTAGATTTTAGACCCAGAGTCTTTTTTTTGTTTGTTTGAAAGCTGGCTCCACTAAAAAATTGGCTGTTAGGCAAGGCCTCTTTCCTTACCTGTAAAATGGTAATAGCAACAGTACCTACTTCATGGAATTGTTACAGAGATTAAGTTAAAGAAGTAAGTATCTGTAAAGAGTAAGAATGTACATGTTGGGCTTCCCTGGTGGCGCAGTGGTTGAGAGTCCGCCTGCTGATGCAGGGGACACGGGTTCGTGCCGCGGTATGGGAAGATCCCACGTGCCGTGGAGCAGCTGGGCCCGTGAGCCATGGCCGCTGAGCCTGCGTGTCCGGAGCCTATGCTCCGCAACGGGAGAGGCCGCAACAGTGAGAGGCCCGCATACCGCAAAAAAAAAAAAAAAAAAAGAATGTACATGTTAAGTTTTGTTAAATAAACAAATGGAAAATCCAATTATTAGAGGAATTTTAATCTTTCAAAATAGAGGAAGAATCTTCATCATATCACCTGTCTGTAATGGCACAGCATTGTCACACATAAACCAAAATATCCATTTCGTAAAATCTCATGGAATTTGTATTGAGAATCTAGAAAAAACTTCAGGTGGATTAAGCATAAAAGAATCTTTGTATTTATCACTTTAAGTACCTTCTTGGTGTCATAAAAACTAGTAAGTTAAAAAAACTAACACTGAAGGTTAAAGAAAAAATGGTGAACAATTATTTCCAAATAATTATTTTGTATTATGTGTTCCAAAACAGGAAATTTCTAACTAAGCAGTTATGGTAAACTCCATGAAAAGTATTGTAACTCATATTAGGCTAACCCAACTGAAAAGCCTCAATGTAAAGACCAGATAAAGAAGCAGATTTTTAAGGAGCCATAGTCAAATCTTTTTACATAAGTATGTCTACTACATTTAAAATGTACATCGTTTGTTCAAATTAACTTTTTAAAAGTATTTATATGTAACTTCTCAGAAATTAATTTATGGTTGGTTGAGTGGTATAGTCAGGTAAAATTTCATTATCACTATAATCTCAAATTCAATAAAATCATGATCATACTTGATGGAACCTTTTCTGTAGCTGACTGATTAATTGATTTAATTTTGGCTGCACCGTGCAGCACGCGGGATCTTAGTTCCCCAACCAGAGATCAAACCTGCCCCGCTGCAGTGGAAGTGCAGAGTCTTAACCACGGGACCACCAGGGAAGTCCCTGTGGCTGTTTTATTTTAAAGCATTAAAAAAAAAAGAAGAAACACTTTATATTTTGGTGAAGTTTTACTTTTGCTTATGGATCAATTTTTGATCTCACAAAATTAGAAAATATACTTCTGGTTAAAACATTAACAGACTCAGAGCAAAACAGGTTAGAGGAAAATAATGCAAATTCAATAAAAAGTTCAATACAATTCTACAATGCTATCAATATGAAATGTAAACCATTGTGGTTCACCAAATGAATGTCTACTTTTTTTTATGAGACTAAAAATGAAGCCCTATAGTATGGTATTTGGAAGGGTGCCTTTGAAGTCAAACCAACCTAAGTTTGACTCCAGCCCCACCATTTCTTAGTTAAATGAAGTGATTGTAAGCCAAATGTTTAATCTCTCTCTTAGTCTAGGTTTCTTCAGCAGGAAAATGGGTGTTTAAGAGTAGCTACCTTATATGTGTAATCTGAAGATTGAATAAAGTTATTCCTTAAAGAAAGCCCCTAACTATTTTAGGTGCTCAAAAAAAAGTTAGCTCATATAAAATAAGGGAAGCAAGTAAGAACAGAAATGAAATTCCTTTTTCATAGTATTACCAAGAAACATCTTAATGAAAAGGAGGCTTTATTTCAATAGCTTAATAGTACAGGCCCTTAAGGATGCAATAATACAAACACACACACACACACACACACACACACACACAAACACACACTCTCTCTCTCTCCCTCTCCCCCTTCCCCCCTCCCTAAAATTGATGCTTATAAAGAAGTGATCATTTATAAAACTGCAAGTTTTATAACGTACACCACCACCCTCACACTAGTCTCTCCATCAGGCATTAATCAAAACACAAAACTAAATAAACTTCAAACATTTCTCAGTCCTGAAGAAAGCCACATACCCTTACCTCATTCAGTAGTCTTCTAAGCTAGGCTGCTTGGCATTTCTTCAGGACACAACACAAGCTACCTTCTCTTTTCCAACCTCACTTTGCTCTGACATTTCATGGTAAACTAATTCTTTTAAAAAACTTGTTTTTTAAACTTAACAGTGTTATAGAAACAGACACATAGACTTACTACATATTTCAGTCAGCAAGATCAGAATTTTCAAAGACAATATAAATGTAACTGAGTATATATGCTATATAAATGGAAACCAATATGAATTTTAAGACACATCTTCTAATTTAAGTTTAGAAGAAAATACATTATCTTAAATAAGTTCTTTCTTTTTACATCCCTTTTAAAACTAAAGTTTAAGAAAAAAAGATTACTTGATGATATCAGAAACCAGATCTTCACAATAGTTATCAGTAATAATCTGTATTTGGTATTTTATTTCTTTAAATGTGGATTCTAATTTATAACTGTGGCTCAGGTCTTTGCCCAGAGACAAAGCAGTCTAAGATGATTTAAATAACTGATTAATGTTTCTAATGATGATATAATTCCAGCTAAAAACTATCACTCCTGAGTTTGGAGCTTACCTGTGCATCAATATCAATGGCAGGGTAGATAGGAAGCATGGCTGAAGGAGAGATGATAGGACTTGGAGTTGGAGTCTGAGGTTGGGAAATGGAAGCAGCGATACTGTGGGTAGGAGTGTTTGACATTGCAGATGCTCTTCCACTGACTGCTGTTGAACAAAATAACTGTACTTAATGAGGATGAAACATTGTTAGGTAACAGCAAGAAATAGTTGTCAGAAAATATTTAAATATCTTTAAAAACAAAATATCTACAGGTAGACTGCCATAGCACTAATAACTCATTTTCCTGGTTATTTCTGACACTGGACAACAGACCAAAATTTAAATATATATTGAGAGTAACCCATTTGCTAAACAATAAACCATATGAAAAACAAATTCCCCTCTTATGGTATGTAATCACAAAACCTTAATTCAAAATAACCCTGAAAACAAAACTATTTTTATGAATTAAAATTAAATATATATGCAAATGGTTATCCATTATATCTTCTTAATCAGAAAAGGAATAAAAGTTAAAATAGTCAAGTTAAGAAGGAGAAAATGTGTCTTTTACCTGCCAATTTCACACCTCATTTTCTAGAACTAATGAAAGTAATATCACTGTTTGGGGACATTCGCTATTGAATATTTAAAATACTTCCTATTCTTTAATTAACTGCAGACAGGGGGTGGCCCTCAGTATGACAGCATATATATATATATATAAAAATTTGATCCTCACACAGAAACAGTTTCTCACATACAGAATTATTCTGAAGGGCGTAAAATGCTCACCAATCAATCTAGCAATCACACTGACTTAGGAGGACAAAATTAAAATATTAGGGTAGAAAAAAATGTATGCATGCAATCAGCCTTCAAATATAGATTACTGTTAGTTCTTCTAAGTGTAATTTTGCCATGATATTATTTTCATCAAAATAAGCAAATTAAGAAGGGGCTAATTAGGTCAGTACTTGAGATGGGAGAATTCCAAAGGTGGTAGCAGTTGAGGGTACTTTATTCCCTCATCAACTCACTTCTGGAGTTGGCATGTGAACATCAATCCTTTTTCCCCCTTATTAAAAATGCTATAGCACTAGAGTCTGGGCATTAATCTTTGAATGATCAACAGTAGTGTGGATGTATGTTACCAATGTAGTTATCAACTACATGAGACAGAAAACAATCATGATTCACAACTGGATCTGAAACCAGGCAAAAGAGGTTATGCTCCTACCAAGAACAAAACTGAAATAGACCTTATCATAACAATTATAAACACAATTGTCAATTAAGAAATCTATTTTACATGAAATCCTTAGTTCAGGCACAAACATACACTATACATTATAGCAACACACATTCTAAAATTATACATTTTTAAGTCCACTTAAAAGCCAAAGGAAGAACAAAGGAGGAAACAAAACAAAACAAAACAAAACACACTATTTGAATCCTTAGGGATCCAGATCAATAGAAAAGGGCATGTATTCAACACTAACATGTTAATCATCTAATGACCTTGATATTGTTACTCCACGTTGATAGTTTTGTATGTTAAGAAAAAGATCAAGACAATTCAAATGTACACATTCTAGATATAAATTTCAAAACCATATAAAATCTATGGCTCTTAAAATGGGTTCCATATTCTCCTCTGATTAGACTGATTTTCACAAATGAAAATGCTAAACACAAAATTAGCTTAAACAGAATGAACACCAATCTGTCCAAAAAACTGAATTTTATTTCATGATACTGAACAAAAAAATCTAAGTTTATTGTTAAATGACTAAATTATAATTTACATTTCAATTTGAATAAGTTCTTTTAAAGAACATATTAGTTTTCTTATTTTTGGTCAAACTGGTTTTTCTTATCACCTCTTCTAGAAGGAGATAGGAAAAATCAATTCTCTCATTTAATTCCCTTGGGGTACCTATGATATTGGTTTACTAAAACTAAATAGCTGCCTGTCACTCATCCATTCTCTACAATTAAAAGTAACAGTTGTAAATATGTAGGTACCTGAAGGAACCATGGTACAGACCAGATCTTTACGTGTGGAACTTCATTTTAGGGTCAGAGAGGGAAAACCAGATGCTCAAAGAAATTTTAACGTCAGGTAAGGAAAGAGGGAACTTGACAGCACAGCAAAGGCAAGTTGTTAAGACTGGTTAAATAGGGAACTGATTTTGGTTTGGCTAGTACAGAAACCAAGGAAGATAGAAGATTCTGACCAGCCAAGCACTAGAGAAAAAGAGACTGAATCTTATAAAAGCAGTCTAATAAATGGGGACTAAGGAATAAAGAACAGACATTATGCTGAGGGAGAGAAGGAAGACTGAGCCTAATGAAGTTGTAAGATATTAAAAAACCCAAAGAAAGAAATGGAAATGGTCATTAGTCAACTGAAATAACAATTACTACCACAGAAGAAGTTTAAAGGCTGTGGAAGTGAGTGTATATGTGTATGTTTGTGCACGTGCACATGCATGATGCAGGAATGGGTTGCAGGGAGGTAGCTGGATGTTTTTAATCCTGTTCTTTCTTCTGGCCATCTCTCCTCTCCCCATATAAATGAGAATAAACAGGTAAAGTATTTTTATAATATGACAAGTATCTGTCATATTTCCTAAGAAGTTATAAGCTTTAAAAAATAATTTTATATGAAAACACCTGGAACACATAGGGAGAATTTAATTGTTTTCGTTTGGTAAACAAATCAACAGAAAAACTACTTTACAAACCTCCGATAATTCTGATCAGCATAAAAATTATACAACTGGCAAATCATTATTGAACTATGCCCAAGAACATCAGGTAAATTCTGATAGCATATCAAAAAATTTTTAATATTCATTGGTATGGAATGTCCATTCTTCATTTAATTGAATAAATAACACTTAATTCTACACATTCTTTGGTAGTTGAATTGACATATTATAAAGAACACCATTATGATCTAGATTAATGGCCATGAAAGTAATATCAAATTTGGCATTTGGAGCTACTGTGCTTCAATTTTCATAAGATATATACTGTTTTTAAAATTACATTCCCAATTATTATAACCCGCTAATGGTGATTAGTAGTAACTTTCAAATCTATAGGAAAAATGTATGCTTCTTAATATAAGAAGCTTTGTAGTTCTTACTAACAATTAATAGCATTTTTTCCGATGTAGTTACTGTACCCTCTAAGATTAGCAGAGACTTTCATTCCACATACTATTGTTGAGGTGATACTAAAAGAAGACTAGGAAACTTTAGAGCAATTTCTAAGTACAAAATCTGTCTCATTAGCTCTTAGTTTCTGAATGTTAGCTAAATATCTCAACACTATACAATTTCATTTTCTTTTATTCTTTTAAAAGATTAAAATTAAGTTATGTATAATCTCATCATAATATATAATGCTACTTAAACACAGTTTCAAAATTAGAAAAAATTCAATCATCCTTTAAGTATAGACCAAAGAATTAAAAGGGGGGAAGACAGCAGATGAAAATTACCAAAATTCACCTATTTACCCCCTTTGTTTTCCCCTGTTCCTTCTTTTTCTGTTTTTTTTTCTTTACTTTTTTTTTTAAATGAAGAAAATTATTCTTTTCAGTACAGTATTCTTATGGCTTATAATCCTGTAAAATCTCATTCTACTACTTTGTTACAGAACTCACAAAAACTAAGTACCCCAAACTAGAACCATTAAAACAACCCCTAAAATATTTCTTTTTGCCAATGAATCTAATTAAAATGGAAAAAAATTTCTCTGCCTACCCATTTAAAGATATATCATTTATGATACTATCAAGGGACCACACCTGCTCATAATACAATTAGAAAGAAACTACACATGAACATTCACAGGGGATAAATCACTGACATACAGTATAATCAAACCTTATTTGGTTTGGTACTTTATTATTGTTGTAAAAGTATTTACTTTTTTTTTCTTAATATCCATCAGGTTTGAAGTCTGATCCATTAGGATATAAAGTATTTCTGTTCACAAATAAGCTTTCTGATATATCCTACTAGTTTTGCACTTCAACTTCTACCAATTTCCCGGTTTATTGGTGTGAATACAGAAGCAAAAAAGCCAAAATTTTATCAGTATTCTGAACTTAAAGAGAAAAAACAAAACCAAAAACAAACAAAAAAATCAAACATCAACCTGACTACCGAAAAACCTAGATTCCCAGCCTACCCACCTAAGTCAGAAAGTTTCAGCCACTTGCATTGAATAAGCTAATCTTTAATTTGACCTGTATCCATCTGAGAACGTCTGAGATTGAACTAATATTTCTAAAGATATACATGGTTCAAGAGTCCAGAAATAGTTCTCAAGTTGGGTAACGGCAAAAAATTCTGGCACACTCTTACTCGCCTTAAGCAAATCATATTTGATACCTGCTCATAACAATATAACCCACCTGCCATGATGTCATCCAGCGTGTCATTGAGGGTCTGAGCAGGGCTGGCTACCATTAACCCTTGTTGTGTTTCTGTCAGAATTCCTTGCCCCAGCCCTGCCAACTGTGCTTGGCCCAGTACTGGCTGTCCAACTATCACTCCTTGCAGTTCTGTAAGATTTGCGATGGACCCTGGAGGCAAGGGACCTGCCGCCAGAGGCAAAGCTTGAGGCATGGCCAGAGGCTGGACTGGTGCAAAACCCATCTGAGCAGCAGTTTGCTGGGGTTCATCTTTAAGCAAAACGGGATCCACTTGCTGTAACCGTGCATAGTCTCCCTCGGAAAGCTGTTCTCCAACCCCAACAGGAGTTAGCAGTCCCAGATGTTGGCAAGACTGTTGCTGCTGCTGCTGAAGTTGAATTCTTTGAGCTTTAACCTCTAGATACTGCTTTTTTAGCTGCTGCTGAGTTTTCAGTTGTAATTCTCGTTCTACTTTCTGTAGTTCCTCCAAAATCTTTTGTTTCTTCTGAATTTGTTCCTCCCTTGTTTTGTTCAGCTCCTCGATCTTCTCCTTGGTAAGTTGGTCAGCATGAGCCAGTTCCAAGGACTGCAGCTGTGCATTCTTTTCTATGGCTTCTTTTATCCTCTGTTCCAGTTCTGTTAACTTTCCCTGAGCCTCTTCTACAATGCTCTCTGGAGACTGATTGGTGATGTAACCCTGTACATCCTGGCTGTTTGCTGGCAAATGGCTGCTGGACTTTTGTTTAGAAGCAGCTGTGTGAAAAAGAAACCCCCTCAGAAGTGCACATGAATGGCATCCTCATTACAGAGTTACTGTTGGGAGGTTTAGTGCCAACAGTTATGCACCAAGTTAATATATCCATAGAAGGTGAAAATGCACTGTTAAGGAGTTAAAAACAAATCCACCTTCTTTATCATAAATATAAAATGTATGTATTTTATGTGCATAGAGTAACCTTTGGGAAATTAATTTCAGAATTTTAAAAATATCACATGGTTAAAATTAGACAATAGAGGGATGCAAGTTTGTGATATCTAAGTGGTACAATTAAAGTAAAATCTAAGGCTATGTGTAGATAGATACCTCATCTGGTCATAAAGATGTAAAAACTTATCATAAGAACAGAAAAATAATGCTAAATTATTAAGATGTAGGGAAAACTTAAACCTCTAAGTCAAGGTTTTTCTGCATTTAATAGTCTGTGCCTTTTAAACACACACACATACACACAAAGAGTACTCAAACCACTGAGAAGTACCAGGAAATTAAAATCCAACTAAAATATATGTCTTTGTTGGGGCCTACCATCTTCAAGACTGATAAAGGTAAGATAGAAATTCACATATTCACAAAGCTACCTGGCCAGTAGAGAAATGGGATTCAGTTTCCCTGGAAGAAAAGATGCTGAACTATGACATCCACTGTATCTTCTGACAGCCAGGTGAATAAACATATCTGGCTATCGGTATAGCAATCATTTGCTTGCTATACCAACTGAAAAAGGTGCCAAGGCTCTAGATTGGTAGTGGTGATTGAAAAGAACTGGTGGAAATACTTAGTATTCTTGTTGGTAAAATAATATAGGTAGCCAAAAACCAAAAAATTAAAACCACATTGGTTCCTCAGGTAAAACTTTCTAAAAGGAAAAACTGATTAAAACTGGTAGCTGTAATCTTTTGGGACATAACTTATGAACATGCATGATGTAACTTCCACAAACCAAATATGGACCTCAGAGTTCTAGAGCAACAAACAACCATATCTGAAGTAACTTTGAATTCTTGGTTGAGAAAAGGTATTCCAGATATAAAATCTATATTAAAACCAGTTATTCTAAAATAAAATTTAATTTTGATCTAGCTTATTAATATTATGCCTCATATCACTACAGAAATTTTAGTGATTTACAAAAATGTCACCCAATTATACGCAGCCTAACATTTTAACATGAATAGAAATGACTAGTTATTAGAGGAAATCATGGATAATCAGAATTGCATCAAAGATGAGCATCTGAATTTCTACTGCTAATACTTCTGATTCCAGCACAAATTAGTGTTCTTAACTATGTTCTCTCCCAATAACATGCTTTTTTCATTGTTAAAAAAAAAAAATCTTCAATTATGCCGACCTAGTAAAATTCATTTTTTGTGGAATAATAATTTTAAATGGCCAGTTTTTGGTTTTTTTTTGCAATCTTATCATTTTTACTTGGACAACTTGTTAAGTCTTTAGAAGTATAACTGACCTTTATTCCTGATGGGAAGAGTAGTGGCAACATTGGCAGGTGGTTTGTCAGGCTCCTGAGGTGGGACAACCATGGGCAGTGCTTGAACTGGTACACGAGGAGCCTAAGACAAATGAAACTGATTATATATCTGCTTTTCCTCACCTTCCATTACATAATTTGCTTTAAATGAAGAATAAGTTACAAAGATCCATTCGAAATATTTTTTCATATGACAATCTCAGGCGACATATTTACTTAAAATGTGTTGGTATCAAATTATTTTCCATGACTTTTTTTTTTCCGGCCATGCTGCACAGCTTGCGGGATGGGATCTTAGTTCCCCGACCAAGGACTGAACCCGGGACCCAGCAGTGAAAGCGCTGAGTCCCAACCACTGGACACCAGGGAATTCCCTCCATGACATTTTTTTAATGAACTTTGAAATCAAAAGATTATTCTGGCCACAGTAAGAAAGCAAAGCAAAATCATATCAATCTAGAATCTGAATATTACATCAGAGGTTCATTAACCATATCAAGTATGTTATCTATAAAAAGAACTACATATTATAACAAAAAACAATCTAGTTTAATCTTGAACTATGACCGAAAAAGGGAAAAAGATGATATAACATAAAATGCTTTAGTTTAGAAGCTTACCCTATTTAAATCGTGGGATGGGGGCGTTAACTGAGTGACATCTGGTGGAGGGGCTGAAAGCAAGTTATTAGGATAGTCCAAAAGATAGCAAACAACGCTTGTATGACCACCTTTTGCTGCTTCTATCAACATAGTCGAGCCATCCTAAAAGAGTGAATATGGAAGGGGAAAAAAATTTTTTTTAAAGTTAATTTACAGAAACATTAAGGAAGATATAGCCAACAGGCCCCAGACACATTAAAGTTTTAGGTTTAGTAAAGAACACTTTTCTCTAAAAACAGAAGAAAATGAACACATTTAGAATGCCAATACAAGTGGAACTTATAGATAATCATTTGTTATGCTCAAGAGTGAAAATTAATTCACAATGCTACATGAAACATTTGAGTTACATACTTTTAAACGGTGAGTAGGATCTGCCCCATGAGCCAAAAGTAGTTCCACCACTGCCAGATGACCCCCTGCACAAGCCAGGGACAGTACAGTATGGTCATTGTTAGCTGTGGTTCTATTCACATTTGCTCCTAAAACAGACAAGGCATGAAAAATCATGTTAATAGAGTGTTGTTTCTTAAATTATGGTAAACTTCATAATCGAAGAGTAGAGAGAACAGTATAATGAAGCCCCACATACCCATTACCCAGCTTCAATGATTATAAATATGGCCAATCTCATTTCACATATACCCACATCCATTCTCCTCTCCCATCTTGAATTATTCTAAAACAAATCCCAGACAAACACGATATAATTTCATCCATAAATGTTTCAGTATGAACCATTAAAAGATAATGATAAAAGTATATATTATTCCTAATATAATCACTGTTTTAAAAAAGTAAAATATAAAATTTTATCTACATTTTAATATCTTCAGTGGGAAAGATGACTAAAAACCAAGAAAAAAATAAACCACACTGCCCTCTATGGGCCAAATATGGAAGGAATTAACAAAAAATAGTAAGTAATAATAGTATAATCTTTTTTCATTGGGAAATATCTGAGAATGAAAACAGGTATATTTTCCCCTTAATATGAATTCATCCCTGATTTGGAGCACTGTGCTATGCATGTGGGAAATGGAAATAAAATACCAGGAAGAAACTGGAATCAAACTCATTAAAATTAAAGAAGAGAGGAGATAATAACTGAAAATAATTTCATTCTTCAGAATACTATGTCTTATTTATAAACATATAACACAAGGAAGTGTTCAAATTGCCTAAAATACTTTGACCAGTAAGTTATTTCTGATTTATTTTCTTTACCTACAAACGATTTCAAACTTTAGGCTACCTTTGATGTTAAGGATTTTGGTATTCAAAGTAGAATAAATGACCATGAATGAAAATGCATTTTTGGCATATTTGTTCCATTTCAATTTTGATTTTTTGGGGGGGTGCTATATTTATGACCACCTCTCTATATTTTACAAAGAAGGAAACTTAGGCCCAAGGAAATATAAAGAAGAAAAGTGACTTGCCTTCAAATTAATCAGTGGCAGAAACAACGTAAAAATCCAGGTTTTGAGATATATTATTACATAAACAGAAAAGACTTCAAGGTATCTAAACCCTCAAAGTTTTTTACACAGAGAAATTTTTCTGTATTGAAATGTTTTTTAACAAGGGTGGTATTCGGTATCAGAACTCTTCACAGTTTGGAATGGTTCTATGTGTTGCAGGATGTTTATCAACTACCCACTCACAAAAATCTCAGTAGCATCCCTCCACCATGTGACACCTCCAAAATGTTCTTTACCTGTAAATCTCTTAATACCCAAGGGCAGGGGATAGATACCTGTGGAAAAAAATTACTGCCTTACACAAACCTACCTTTACTAATTAGGAACTGAACGGTACAAACATGACCAGCTCTTGCAGCTTTCATTAAAGGAGTTCTTCCACCTTCAGATTCATGCTCCTGTTTAAAAACCACAGACTTACTTGATATTTAATTTCTAATGAACAATTATTCCCTTTCATGAAAATCAAACGGAAGAGAACTGAACTAATTTCAGAATCTAAATATATTAAATAACATGCTTTGAAGTAAATCTAGGAATACATTCTTTAATTTAAACAATCTCAAATTAGAAACATGTTCTATGGAAATATAGATAAATTAAGAACTGGGGTTATATTCATGTGATTGTTACACCCTCATCTAAATCCATCTGGGTAATTTTTCCTTCTCTCTACAAAAAGGACTGTGGAACTTGAACAATGAATGGCACTCTAGCACAGCCCTCTCCAAACAATCAACATTATCAACATTATCCTAATCCACTACAAGTGATTTTCGTTTCATAAGTTTGTATCCTACGTGTATGAATTTCTCTAAGTATATCACTCTCTGTCTTTACAGACTTCCCATTATCTCTATTTTACCTTACATAAAAATAACAAAAAAAAAAAAAGTAAAAAAAATAAAAAATAAAAAAAAAATAACAAGGCTAGTGATATTTAATACCATCAATTATAAGATATTACTAGAGATTTCTGGATTTCAAAAGGATGGAGAACCAGCTGCATTTTTGCAATTCAGAATATCAGCATAGGAAAAACTTTCAGATCTTACAGTATAAAGGTTTGAGAAAAAAACACCTTTTATAAAGCATTTTACATGCCAATATTTTTTACACTTACATCGGATGATTCTTCTCCGAATCATACACTAAGTTGTTTTCATTGCAATTAACTAAGCAAGATTACATTGCTGTATGTTTCACAGTCACTGTAGTAAACACTGGAAATTTAGTTCCTAAGCTGAAGAAGCTCAAAACCTAATAAGAAGAATATACGCATGACTAGCTAGAATATAACGTGCGTCATAAGTTCTCCAAGAGTTGTACCAACACAGACAGAGCTGAAGGAGGCCACAATAGTAATCTAATTTAACCCTCTCCTTTCATAAATGAGGAAAGAGAAGTTAAGTAAAGTTTAAGTTAAGAAATCAGTTAATTGAGGAGCCTGTTTCTGCCTGCATGTGAGTTTCTGTCATAAACTATGAACTTCTACAGGAAAACACATTTGCTTATTAATCTCAGCCCCATGAACACACGGGTGCTTATGTTTTAACTAAAACCTACCTTTCTTACTCCCTCACAGGCTAAACTGGAAGAATGACTGTTTTCCCCACACACAATTGCTTTTTTCTTCCCTACGTCTCAGGCTGTACTCATACTATTTCTTCCAACTGGAGTATCTCTTTTGTAACAACAGCGCAGTATCTACCTTTCTAAACCCTACCCAGCCCCAAACATAACATCTCAGATGACGTCTTCACCTCTTCTAAGCTTTTTTACTGTCTGTCCTTTCCCTATGACATCTCTTTGTAATCTACCTTAAAATGACCTCAGTAGGGACTTCCCTGGTGGCGCAGTGGTTAAGAATCCGCCTGCCAATGCAGGGGACACGGGTTCGAGCCCTGGTCCAGGAAGACCCCACATGCCATGGAGCAACTAAGCCCGTGCACCACAACTGAGCCTGAGTGCCACAACTACTGAAGCCCACGCACCTAGAGCCTGTGCTCAGCAACAAGAGAAGCCACTGCAATGAGAAGACTGCGCACCACAACGAAGAGTAACCCCCGCTCGCCGCAACTAGAGAAAGCCTGTGCGCAGCAACAAAGACCCAATGCAGCCCAAAATAAATAAATAAATATTTTAAAAAATGACCTCAGTATTTCATCCTTCTCACTAAATAAAAAGTTATTTGAGGGAAAATATTATTTACTGAATACTTATCTTTTTAACTCCTTTACTTAATAATGCTTTGATGGTATAGGTACAATTTATTTCCTAAACTACAGTGAAATGCCTCTAAGCCATATTTGCCTTTTTATGACAGATCAGAAAAGCTTCTAAAAATAGCTAAGTACTTAAGAGAAGATCTGTATTAATTATTATGATTAATTATTAACATATCAAACACAAAATTTTCCCTTTTTTGTAGGGGAAAAGGGGTAGTAGACTGGATAGTCCTGCTAACTAGGAAAGTAAGAATGGACACCAAACAGCATAGGAAAAAAATATGACTAAATGAGATAAAGAATGGCAAAAAGGCCAACATAAAATCAGAAGTAAAGAAACACCTTTTGTCTATAATCTCCTTTCAATTAATTTCTTGTCTTAGCTTTAAATATTAAGATTTAGAAAGTGACATAGCTTACCAGATCTGCTCCTGCCTGAAGTAAGACATCGGCTACATCGGTATGACCATTTTCACAGGCGTATGTTAGTGCTGTATCCCCTGTTGCTGTTGTTGCATGAACATTAGCTCCTGCAGTAGTGTTAGATACACAGCCTTAATAAAAGAATCATAAGACACAAATGTGGATACTGAAATTTCTTCTAGATAAGCCATATCTCCTCAAATTAGACAAAACAGCCTTATCCATTTCTAGAAATAGAGAATACTGTCAGCATCTTTAAAAGCAAAAAAGAAAAAAAATTAGAAATAGATTACTGCTTAAAATTAAAACTGCAGATATTTCAAACAGCAATAAGGTAAATTATTTATTCAAAATACACTAAAAAATGTATCACATTATTTTTCTATACACATTCAGTGCATCATACATCAAAAAAAAGCTATTTGCATTGCAATATTTTTACTTAAATAAATCATGTAAAAAAACTCCCAAATGCAAAAATGCCTACCTGCAGCTAATAAGTATTTAACTAACTCCAAATGACCCTCTTGAGCAGCTTCCATTAAAGGGGTAGAACACCCTAGTTCTATATCAGCTCCTGCCTTAATTAGAAAGTCTGCCACTTCCAGAAAGCCTCCACAGCAAGCCAAAGTCAAGGCAGTTTCTTGAGTTTCTTCTGTCTGTGCATTGATATTTGCTCCTAAAATAAAGATTCTAATTATTTAAAGAAAGTCATTAACTTATTCCAGAGATAAGCAAAACATTATTATTTCCTAGTAAACTATACTTCAAAAATGAACATTTATATTAATTTACTAAATGATGAAGTACCTCTCCCCTATTCCAGGAGGCAGTTAAAAATAAAGAAAACTATCAAAACCACATCCACTAGTCCACATTTGACGTACACTGCTGGAATAAGATTTATTCAGCTAGAAGGTACAAGTCATGTGATTTAAGGCCTTAGAAAATAAACCACATCCCCTAGTTATAAAGGTTCAAAATAATGATGATAAAGATGTTGATGAAAATAATAATAGATAATATTCAATATGCTGTTATTTGTCAGGTAATATTTAAAGCATTTTACATATTATTGTTAGCTCCATTTTTACAGCTAAGGAAATTGAGATTAACTAACTTGCCCAAGGTCACAACAACATTATCATCATCACTACAACCACCATCACCACAGTTAACACTTAACAGACACTATATGACAGTGTTCTAAAAGCTTTAAACACACCTATAAATTCTCACAACAACCCTACAGACAACAAAATTGAGGCAGAGAAGGTTAGAAACTTGCCTAAAGTTACAAAATCGGCAAGCAGTGGATTTGTGATTCAAACTAAAAAGTCTGCTCCAAAAACTATGCTTTTAAAATTCTAGTCAATATTACCTCTCAGTAAAACGTTTTTTAAAAATGTGCCATTCCTCCTAAATTTGTACAAACAAAACCTTTACTACTAAAAGAGATATAAAACCAGGCTACCAATATGGATAGAGATGCGAGATTACTTCTAAAGTTAAGGTATCTTAATACAGTCAAGTAACTGTTTCACTTTCCCCAAAAGAGAAGCCCACAGTGTACTGAGCTCCTTGACAGCTTCTTATACATGCATTGTTGCATTCTCATCAAGTTAGTCCTTATGGCAAGATTTCCCATAGTGTACTTTATGAAACACTAGAAACATCAAACATTTATTAATAGGTATTCTGCCCTAAGAGGCATTCTCTCAATATATTAGCTGCAGAAATGCTGAATCTCATACATGCCCCTACATAACCTACAACCCTATCCCACCCCCACTTCTCTCTATTTTTATTCACACAGCACAAAATGGCTCTGAAAGCTCTTAAATAGTAAAGAAGTCCATTTGATTTTATTTAGTACAGTATGAGAGCTGTTTTCAAAGAAAATATTTCATCTTTAGTTTTTGTGATAGCACCTCATTACAAATCTACTAGAAAAATGAAATAAATTCAATTTTATAAAATCATAATCTTACATTTTACACATTTATGCGTTAGTGTCTTGATTGGTATTGGTTACCTTGGCCTAAAAGTAACGCCACCATTTCTTCATGTCCTTCACGAGCAGCTTCCATCAATGGTGTATAACCTTCATCATTGACCTCTTCCAGGCTAGCTCCTCTTTCAATAAGTAAAGCCGCAAGTTCCACGTGCCCACCACATGCAGCCAAAGTCAATGGTGATTCAAATGAATCAGCAGGCATGTTCACTTGGGCACCACTGTCAAGAAGTAACCTAGCTACTTCAACGTGGCCATCCTGATTACAATGCAATTAAAAAAACTGAATCAGCACCATTAAAAAATCTTTAAAAATACTTCTCAATTGCTATACAATGAAGTTTACTGATCTCAATTCAAATAAGAATAAATCTACATTTAACAGGTGAGTAAGCAAGCATTAATTAAGACATATCTACAGTTTACTCTAGTAGTAAATAGCAATTGAGGATATAAAATATGTAGAAAAATATCTTCAATCAAAAAGCTTATTAACCATCAGAAAAAAAAAACAGTAAGCACATAAGATAAGAGATTACTGTGAGATAACATCAACACTGCATAGTGTAAGCTTAAATGCTAAAAGTATCAAGTTTAGAAAGGGAAAGTAGGATTTTCATAGAAACTATAAGGATAAGCAAAGTTTTGGCTAGGTAGAGAAAGAAAAATCCAATACTTTTTAGAGGAGTGGGGGAATTGAGCATGATGGGAAAAGGGAACACAATATGTACATGGTAATTCCTTTGTTGTTTGACAATCAAATGCCAGTGAAAATTAAGAAAAAGAAAAAGAAGTTCTCTCTTAATATCTTCTGTCTTCTTTACCAGTCTCCCTTTCTCACAGTTTTCCTAAATATTGGCAACCCCAAGGCTCACTTTTCCATTCTTTCTTCCTTTGATACATTTTTTCCTTCTGTATTACCTCACAGACATTTCATCTTCTTTTGAACATGTCATGCCCATTTTTGCCTTGGTACTTGCCATATTACACAACTTTAATGTCTTATCCCTGTGGTTACTTTGCTGTTCCTTTAGCTCAGAATTTTCTCCTTCCATTAAGTAGTCAACTCCTACATTTCCTTTAAAGTCCAGTTTAAAACCTCAGTCTCTTAGCAAGTCTCCAAAACGTATGGCCCCTACTAGTATCTTTCATCTACTTATAACACTTACTTATATTGCATGCAAAGTAGGTCTACAGAATATTCCAGTTTAATTTTTTAATCTACATATAGTTTGTTTCTCTAATGGGGGTGGCAAGGATGTTTTAAGTTCCTTACACACATTATGTCATTTAATCTTCACAACAACCCTAGAGAAGGATATTATTTTAACAGATGGGGAACTCAAAACCCTCCCAGAAAATTTGTTTAATCAAAAGAATAATTTACTAAAGCAAACACTGGTATGGCAATAAGAAAAACAAAAAATAACTCAAGTCTTAAATGGCTACCTAATTTTTTTAAAATTAGTAATTAAAGTTTAACATCCTTTCAATAATCATTCTCCGAAGGGAAGTTGAGACAAGAAACTTAAAATTTGGGGTCTGCTTTATCTTTGGTGTGTTTTTCTCATAAATCTGCCTATAATGTTATTCTGATTCATTTCTGTGCCACAAGTCATAGACTGAGATACAAAAGTTTAAGAGTACTATTATTACGCATTCTCAAGTACAAATTAAAAAAAAAGTTCTTAAAAAAAGGAATTCAAGGCTGAGAAAAGAGCATGATAGAGGATCTTTGGGAAGGGAAAGTCTCTGGAAAGGGATCTTTGGGAAAGGAGAATGACAGAGGGAGAATTATGTAATGCAGATAATATTCTAATTGCAAATTTTTCATAAATTTTAAATTACGGGTTTGATGAACATGTTTTACTTAGTATTATGTGCATACTCTGTGGATTATGTTCTCATTTTTCATATCCTTGATCAACTTTTAAAAAGTCACTTTTTGTGCCAATTACATAAAACCAGTATAACTATGGGAGACTAAGAAAATGAAGGTAGTGCTACAAAGCTTCAGAAAGCACCTCTGATAGAAGTTAATACTGCACGACTGGCTCTTATAACTCAGATAGCTGAGGTTCTGATCCACAAGTCATGATAAACAGAATCTTTGAACCCAAGGAAACGGCACTCACTATACACTGACTCTGTCTCTACCTAATATATAAATATATTTCATGTATGTATTTCACCAATCTTACCATGCAAGCCTCCATTAAAGCAGTGTGCATTTCATCTGTTTTATGCTCTTGATCTGCGCCTGCTTCCAAAAGAAATCGCACCATCTCTAGATGTCCTAAACCAAAAGTTTATAAGATTACTTAAAAATATTTTATTATTCCCCCAAAATAAAATTAACAATATTTTGAAAAGTTGTATTTAACTTACAGCAATACATTTATTACCATAATACTAAAGTCAGCTACAAGCCACCCTCAACTGCCCAACACAAATTATATAAGTGATCTGTGCTGTTCTACTCCTTACCCTGTTACCCTAGAAAGTGCTATTACTAAAATCCTTGCTGTAGGTGAGCAAAGGTGGCCCTAAAATACAACACGCAGAATATCCCCTCTACAACCTTTTTAGGGCCCAGGCATGCCATAGTTATTTTATTTATACTATAGATTAAATTAGCTTTTGTGAACTAGTAGCCTGGGATGATAATCATCATTGAAGTTATTTCTATGAGGAAATGAGCTTTAAGTTTCCATAACTAACTCACAGACATTTTAGGAACAACCTGCTTGTAAGTTGGAAACCATATATATAAAAATATTCTTGAAACAACACCATTTATATTTATTCATTTATTTAGATATAAACATATACATACACATACATATGTATACACACACATATATATACACACACATATATTTATGTAGTTTCAAATAAACCATATGCTTCAGTTCAGATAAAGATTACCTTGTGAGTAGTTACAATGAACATAAATTATATTTTAAAAAGGACTTCAGATACTATGTAAGAAACAGTAGAAAAGTGACTAATTTTTTTCCAACTTCATCTGGAAATGAGCTGCAGTCAATTTTCAGTCAACTGGAAATGGAGGAAGGAGTGGATGGCAGAATCATGAACAGTTAAAATTAACTCTGGTGAATAAGTGTAGCACCTGCCATACCTTGTTTTTGCTAACAAACTATCTCTCCTTCCTCTCTGTCATTCTCCCTTCCCAAAGATCCACATCAATGTTTAAGTCTCAGCCTGAATTCTATCCCTTCCCCATCTCCTCCTTGTCAATCTGTATCCTAAGAGACCTCACCAGAAATAGGGGAAAGTAAGAGTGTCCATGGATCCTTGGAAGTAGTAGAGATGTTCTCCACCAGCTCAGTTCTATATCCAGTTTCTCTAAGGAAAGCCTGCAAGCCCCAACCTCAGCAGGGTGGGGCTACAAGCATAGGAGAGAGGGAAGAGTAGTTATATATAGCCCCATCTCAAAGCTCACTGGCCAGCTGGGTCTCAGTAGTAAAATGGAGCTAGTTCCGGTTTCAAAAGTATTTGATGGAAAGGTAAGACAGAGCCACCCAATCGGCCTGCCCTGGAGAGGCTGCCCCAAGGCTTGATTTCTCCCCTCCCAATGAAGATCAACCTCTGTGTAACTACTAAACAGAACTGGAGAAGTAAGAGACCTCAGCTGTGCTTCCTAAGTACCCTTAATCTGAATTATCTGTAAAACGAAAAAAATCAAAAGTCCTTTAGAGCACATTTTTACATTTAACTTAAATTTTAGTCACTTATGTGTCTAAGGAGTATTTTAGCCATGTTTTTTAAGTGAAGTTATTCCAAAAGACCTCACAAAACCCTGGCCACTCTGAAGTACTGATAGAATGAAACAAAACAACAGGAGGTCCAACACAAGGGTGAAGGAATCAAAGCCCTGGGTACAAAATTTAAGGAGACATTCACTCACAAGCTAGTGTACGTGAAGATTCAGCCATCGAGAGTGAGTGCCTCCTTAACTTTTTTTTTTTCCTCCTTAACTTTTATACCTTGCCTTGCAAGAGCTTTTTCTTGATGCCTCTGGGTCAAAAATGTATCATTTATTTTATGATACAATCATGACACAGCTGCAGATGGTAGAAAACATTGAAGTGAATGGGCTATGCAGGTATAAAATTTCATGAAATTTTCTTTTTAAAAAGTTTCTTAGTTTAGGGCTTCCCTGGTGGCGCAGTGGTTGAGAATCTGCCTGCTAATGCAGGGGACACGGTTTTGAGCCCTGGACTGGGAGGATCCCACATGCCGCGGAGCAACTGGGCCCATGAGCCACAACTAGTGAGCCTGAGCATCTGGAGCCTGTGCTCTGCAACAAGAGAGGCTGCGATAGTGAGAGGCCCGCGCACCGCGATGAAAAGTGGCCCCCGCTTACCATAACTAGAGAAAGCCCTGGCACAGAAACGAAGACCCAACACAGCAAAAATAAATAAAATAAATTAATAAACTCCTACCCGCAACATCTTCTTTAAAAAAAAAAATGTTTCTTAGTTTATAGCAATTTATCTGTCAAAAAGGTTGATTCTGAAAAATGTCTGGCTCTGTGGCTGTCTTTTTAGAATCTAGATTAACTAGCTGAGGACCAAGTATCTTTCCAGACATTATCTTGCCCCCTGCAAAGAAGATATTTTACTCTATTATCAATATTTTCAGGTTGATTGACATCATTTAGAACACTATGTACCCCCCTTTGTACAGCTATATATTGGTAGGTATTCTCAATTTCAACCAGCTCTTCCCTCTAACTTTATTAAACGTGTTAATGATACTCTAAAATTGTTCTTTTGAATACAAACTCCCTCCACACCACTTTTTATTTTCCTTTTCATATATCCTCCTTTCTCTTCAATTCTTTTCCTTTCTTCTTGGTATCATGAGAAATAGCTTAAGCACCTTCTTGTTAATAAATCATTCTAGCTTCTATTTACTTATTTACTGGCCATATCGCACGGCACGTGGGATCTTAGTTCCCCTACCAGGGATCTAACCCACGCCGCCTGCAGTGGAAGCGTGGAGTCTTAACCACTGGACTCCCAGGGAAGCCCCTCATTCTAGCTTTTATTGCATTTACTTTAAATTTACAGGCTAAACGCTTCTGGATTCAATAGGATTCTTTTGTGTAAACCAGGCAAAATACTCTGAGAAGCAAAAGCATTAAAAAGTACAGTGCATATTAAAAATAAATAACTGTTTCTAATAAAACAACTGGATCAACAGTCATTTTTCACTGACAATATTTATAATATTGAATGTATATTTTAAAAGTTTAATATATAAACTTTATATATTAAACTTTTAAACTCTAAAACACTTTAAACACTTATTTATAACGTACTATATACTATTACCATATTTTATTTTTTATTTTAAGTGACTAACCATTCTATATGAAGTAATTGTCATTTCATGAATTTAAAAACTTTGTTTAAAAAAAAAAGTTCTTTACTGTACCTTTGTAACAAGCTAACGTAAGGGCACTCTCTTTAAATTCATTGGAATGCGTATTAATGCCAGCCCCATTTTCTAGCAGCAATCTGGCTACTTCCACATGTCCAGCACTTCCAGCTTCCATAAGAGGAGTATGACCATTTTCATTATGGTCCTCAATACTAGCACCGGATTCCAAGAGCACCTTTACAACATCTACATAACCTCCAGCACAAGCATATGTAAGTGCTGTATTGCCTATTTGAATGAAGAAAAACAAAGACATTAACATAAAATACCAAAATAAAACAGAGGTTTATTTAGTATCAAAGACAAAAATGAAATGAGAGACTATAATCTTAATAAATTTAGCTATTACACTTATATATATAATTCTTTTCTTCATTACATTTTATCTTACTGAAATCAACTCCCTATTCTTTCCATTTAAAAATCAGGGTCAAACACATGTGGAAAATCAGATACACTTATCACAATTGTAAAGTTATAAAAGAACTGAGCAATTCTGAAACTAACTTCCCACATGAGGAAAAAGTTACACTGATTCTAACTTTAATCAGAGAAATGGTTCCCAACCTTTATTTTTTCTTTGGATTATAATTATTCATCATATATAGATATACCTCATACCGTTCCTTTTAATCACGTACTGTTTTCACCACAACTTTACACATCAGTTAACTGGTGGCCAAAGTTAAAATAATTTCAAAAACATTCCCTCTTAATGATAAAAATCTCCCATTTTACATGGGAAAAAAAGTTAACTTCTGGGTAAAATAAGAATTCCTAAAACCCCCGCAAACCAGAACATGCAGACCTTTAAAATTATTTAAAATATTTAATAAATTTAAAAATCTTGCATGAAGGAAATGCACAAAATATATTTTCATATATTTTAGAGCTTTTACACAAATCCATTTATGCCCAAATTTGAAAGAAAAAAAAAACTGATTTAGATTAACATTGTCTCTTGTGTAACATAATGTTTTCATAATACTTTCTTTTTCTATAGGCCGCAATTTATTAACACTAGGCAATGACAGACCTGCCTTCTGTTGCGTATCCTTCTTATTCTCCCTATCTTCCCTTCCATTTTCCCCTGATAAATAGGAAACTTGGGTTTGAGAGGTGGAGACCATCCTCTCCACTTCCAAGAGGATGGTCCTTTTAACTGGGCCAGTGTTTAATATAAAAGAACCAAGGCCAGTTAATAGCACTCATACACAAAACAGGAGAAATTTCATTCAAGATACATTCTATGTACTTTAAGCCTAATGCACAGATATATACAAATGTGCAGCACTGATAATTGTGAAAGCATCACTAATGATCACTTTCATGTGAATTAATTACTATCAGAGGATGTTAATATTTAAAAACTGAAAAAGAAGTATGCATAACCTGTTGAAGACTGTGCATTGACATCAGCTTTATGAGCTAGCAGCAACTTCACAATTTTGACATGTCCTCCATTAGCAGCAGCCATTAAAGGTGTAATGTCACCTTTGATCCCCCTATCTTCCACATTGGCATGCATTGCCAACAAAACCTTATGAAAGAAAAAGTTTAAAGGATATTAGAAAATGATATTTTCATCAAAAGTTTTTGAACATATATTTATGTTAACACCTACCTAGTCATGTTAGAGAGCCAATAAACAAAAGAGCCAATAAACAAAAAAAAATGTATCTAACAAAACTATTTCTTGAAATGAGACTGATGGTTGATTTTAGTTTATTATTCCCTTAATACACAGGCCAAATTAAAACAATCAAAAAACTGTGAGCTTTATTTTGATAATACAAACCTGTGCAAGCTCATAATATCCAGCAGAACAAGCTAAACAAAGGAGGCTCTCCCCTTCCTCAGTGTGTTCATTTACACTTCGCCCTTCAATGAGTAACTTTCGCACAGCATTTACATCTCCTTCTGAACAGGCTTCTGCCAAACTGCGGCTATTGGGGGAAGAATATTGTAATATCAGGATATAAGAATATAAAAAATTGCCCAGCATAAGTGTTGATTTTTTCAAATTAATCTGGACAGTAGTGCTAAAAAGAATGATTATTTCAATATGACTCATAACAAAAAGAAATTTAAATGATTCAGTTCACTGAGTTTTTAAAATCTACATATAAAAGTCACTGAATTAAAATTATCCCCATTACAAAATGTTTTCAATCATGTAACTGAAAGATAAAGTCTAATTTACTATAAGTAGGGAAAAAAATCCAAAATTTTAAAACATAAAATTGTATAGAAAAATCACATGAAGGAAATACAAGTTATAATTACACTTCTGTTTGTTTAGTCACTAGAAAAATTTTATAAGGTTTAATGAAATGGGTAAAACTTTTACTAATTATAAATGCCTAAGTTCTTCAATCAAGTAAAGGGAAATCAGATAGGAAAGCTGTGAGCATGTAATTTTGACTAATCTATGAATAACTGAGAAGGAGATTATTTTTTGAAGTATTTACTTATGCCATCATGTTTTGGGGAAGTATGAAAAATATCCAGGTAAGGCAAAGGCTTAATTCAAGCAAAAGGAGAGTGGAGAAAGTGGTGGAACAACAGAAAATTATACTTAGAGTAAAGCATTTGCCCTGTAAATCTTCCAAAAGAATTTCAACTATGGACATTTCTAAAGATTCCTTCACTTGCGGCTAAAATCCATTCTTAGAAAAACACTAATTCCGAGTCTCTTCATTAATATTCTCTTTATTTCAAATATACCTCAATTCTTACAACCTCCTCTTAAAACATGGCCCTGTCACTTCAGGTACTAAAGCCATCATCCATGGATACCTGTTTTCTATACCTATATTATCACTACCACCCAGTTTTAAGAACATCATCCTTAGCCAAGATTATGGTGAAGTCTCCTAAGCAGTCTCCCTGCTTTTACCCTTGCTCTCCTTCAGGCTTTTTTCAGTGAAGGAGCCAGAGAGATCTTGCTTAAAAGGAAGTAGACCTGTCACTCCTCTGCTCAGAATCCTCCACTGGCCTTTAATCTTACCCACAGTAAAAGTCAGAATCCTTATAAGACCTGTCCAGTGGTAGGATCTCAAACTCCTCCTTTTACTTCTCTGGTTTCAACACCTACTATTCTCACTTACTCTTTCCGCTTTAGCCAAATTGGCTTTCCCGTTTTTCATCAAAAATGCTAATTAAGCTGTAACTCCAAGATTTATGTATCTGCTATCCCTCTGACAAAAAAGCTTCTCCCAGGCACAGCTCACTTGCCTTATCTATTTCAGGTCTTTGCTAAAAAGCCACCTTTTAAATGAGGGTTTCCCTGACTACCGTACTAAAAATGCAACATGATCCCTAACCCCAAACACTGCCTTAGCACTTCCGCATTCAATTTCTTCTGCCCATAATCGTATCATTGTATGCCATACTATATATTTTGTCTACTTGTTAACTGTACTGTCACAAAACACCCACCGTGCTCCACTGTTTCTCAAGCTTTGTTGAACAAACATGACTGTCACAAACATGGCCTAGTGTTTTGCTGATCACTTTTAGTAGTGTCAGTGCCAAAGAATCTATGACTCTTTATTTTTCTATTCTATTTCCTGCTGAACTAGCTTTAAAATACTCTTCAAGGTGCCTTGCCAGTCCCAGAAGGCACATTAAAAAATATCTGGAGAATATCAATAATATCATAGGCTAGTAAAACTGAACGTTAACTAAGGAATAGAACTGGAAGTTAACTAAAGAAGGAGAGTCAATCTATGAGAAGGATGGTAAAATAAATTAATAAAAACAGAAAACTTAGATGAATGAAGACAGAGTTAAGAGAAACAGCAAATTCACATTCTTGTTAATACTAAAAGATGTTGCATAAAAACACTATTATATAAGACAATTCTTGAGTGCTATTTTTTATTCTCTAAACTCATATATAAAAGAGTATTCTCATTTTTTTCAACTATTTAAAGGTAACTGCTAAAATACAGTTGACCCTTGAACATCACAGGGGTTAGGGGTAACCACACTCCACTCAGCTGAAAATCTGCAAATAACTAATCAGTCTGCCCTCCATAAATGCAGTTCCTCCATATCTCTATATCCACGTTTCTGCATCCATGGATTCAACCAACCACAGACTGTGCAGCAATGTAGTATTCACTACTGAAAAAAACCTGTGCTGGGAGCTCTCTGGTTAGGATTTGGCTTTCACTGCTGTGGCCTGGGTTTAATCCCTGGTCGGGAAACTGAGATCCACAAGCCACGTGGCATGGCCAAAAGAAAAAAAAAAAAGAAAGAAAGAAGAAGAGAAAGAAAAAAACCCCGTGTATAAGTGGACCTGTGCAGTTCAGACCTGTGTTGTTGGAGTCAACTGTAAATAAAATGGCTTAATGGCTTCTTTTCAGTTAAAGGAAAAAAAGAAGCCTCTGAAGGGTGAAGACAGTAGTAACATGTATTAATGGTTCTTTTCCAGCTGCTTCCTTGGCATTGTATTTTTCATTATACTACCCATAACTGTTTTATATACAAGATGGTGTGATTGGTTTTTATTGCATAACATCATCAGAAAAACTTTAAAGGCCAAGTCAGAACATATTTACTGAGTTCTTACTAAACGTGAAATGTTATATAAAAGGAATTATAGGACAAATAAAAATAACATCCCTGGAACTCACTTACATTCAAGTTATGGAAACTAGATCTCTGACATTTTTGAACATTCATAAAACAAATAAACAAATAAAAACCCTGCCCTTTAAAATGGTCAGAACTATGCACATGAAGTAGAAAATGGCATGACTAATTAGAAATCATTTACTTCTTTGTCACCAAAACATTAAAAGAAAACAAAATCTAAAAAAGCAAAAGGTCTTTTATAACATATTGGCTAAGAAGTCAGCCTTGTAGTCAGACAGACACTGGCGTCCTACCTCTGCTACTTGTTACCTATTCAATCTTAAGTTACTTCTTTTCTGCTTTTCATGAGTAAAACGGGAATAAAAACAAAATCCATGCCTAAGGCTTTTTGTGAGTATAAATAAGATATCACAGGTAAAGTGGTTAGCATACTGCCAGGCACAAAATACATGCTCAGTAAATGTTAGCTATTTTAATTATTTTTAAGAAAATGTTTTTATACTGATCACAGTGGAAATACACTTACTTGTCCGACTGCCCTGCATTTGCTGTGCTTTCAGCTCTCATACGGGTAAGTGCAGCAGCAGCTTCATCCAACGCACAACTAACAGATGATGTCAACCTCCGAAGCACTTCAGGATCTGCAAAGGCTTTACCATCAGCCGTAGATAATTTGCCTATTCCTATTATATTATTTTCACACCAATTCAGATATACCCAAAAGGAGAAACAAAGCAAAATTCAAGTTACTTAACTCTATTTATGTTAAACTCCAAATGATACACTGGACATATATATTGCCTGGCCAGAATCTTCTGGGAAATCACTGTTCTCCAATTTTCTATTAGTCTTATTCCTTCCATGTGGTCCATAAGTGCTCAACTCTGTGACTCTCTGGTTCTAGAAATGGGTCGTTGGTCTATGCTGGGACAGTCGGGTGTCCTCACTCAGACTTCTGCCATACGTTTGCAAGAAGAACCTATGCTCAAAGGTTGCTAAATCGTGAGTCATGAGCTATTTGGTCACTTTTATCACCACAAAGAGAAAAAGACTGCCCAAAGTAAGTCAACATAGAGGAGAGGAGAGCAGAGAAATAGGAAGGAGACAGTTCTGATAAAGTTATATTTGACTCATTGACACTAGTAGTGCCAGAAGCCAGCACCATACCTATACCTTTGGTAAATGCCCATTTTCATTTAAGAATGTTTAGTTGGGCTACTACCACTTGTGACCAAAAAATGGCCATATAAGACATTATAGGCTATATAAAAGATAACCTATCTATGAGTACCTATTTGCTTCAAATTACGACTACAATTTATTACATACACCCAAAATCATGTCTAAAAACACCATATCTAAAAAATATTCAGAATAGACAAATTTTTTTTAAAATTTCAAAAGCAGAAATGGTTAGTTACCATGTACATGAAACACAACTTGTTGCTACTCTACATATCACTATAAAGAAAGCTGATCTCTAACATTCTAAACTCAGTGCTGCTTAATCCAGGCTGCCCATCAGTGGAGCCTTTCAAAAGTACAGATGCTGAACTCTCCTATATCTAAAGATATAATTCAGTAAGTAAAAGGAAGGCCTAGGGATCTACATACTTTAAAGGCTCTAAGGAGATTCTGATGCACAGCCAGGATTAAGAACCTTTGCTCTAACTTGAAGATAAAACAACTAATGTTATAATGGATATTACAGAACCCCACTACTCAACATGTGGTTCATGAACTACTGATAGAAGCATTACTGTCACTTGGGAGCTTGTCAGAAATGCAGAATCTGAGACCCTAAAATTTACTGATCAATAACGGGCATTTTAAAAAAAGATCCCCAAGTGATTCAAACGCAATTAATGTTTAAGAAACACTATTTTAAAGAGGTTTTAAAACAAACTATTTAACTAAGACAAAGACCAAAAAGATCTCCCAAATGATAATAAACATATCTGTACAGATTTCTTTTAATAGTGGAAGGGCTCAATAATATCATATAAGTTTGTGTTTGAAGTTTATTTTAAAAAAACTTTATACGCATTTGCTTTTCCTTCTGACAAATCCAAGATATGAAATATTACATCTTACGGAATAAATATTGCAAAAAGCATTTCTGATTTTAGATATTTAGATATAACAAATGTTCAGAGCAGTCAAATTTAGTGTCTGCTACAATCAAGACATACAAAGGATAAAAACAGTCTTAATCTGGTAAGACTGATACCTACTGCATAATTTGTGTCACTAATATTAAAAGCCAACTGTACTCTGAACATGCTATAGTAGTATTTATTCAATAAGATATCTGTGGTTAGTTAAGTATCCTAACATTATTGAGACCAATATCACAGATGCATTCTCACATGAGAGAATTAGCTCCAATATTTTAGCCAACTCAGATTGGCTATGTAACAACTATTTGTCAGTGACAAAAAAGAACTAAACAAGAGGATATGTCCAGATCAGAAGAAAGTAATCCCTGTTTTTTAAAAAAATAACATTTAAAATAAAATATTCCATATTAAATTTTTATGAACTTCTCATATCTTCATAAGTAAAGATAACTATTTTAGTAAAAATAACTAGGAAGTAACCTAAGAAATACATAGTAACCTTTCAAATAAATAAACAGTGATTGGAAATTAATTTATCTAGCTACTCTGGATTATGGTGATCTTTTTTACTGGTCTTATTCAATTATCAGATATTAATCAGTGAAGATCAAATAACAGAAATGATACACGATGACCAAATTATTCTTTCCAAGTTATGACATTTAATCAATTGAGCAGAACCATATAATTTCAGAGAAAAGGTGTATTAAATGATTATCTAGATTTTTGATTTCAAGATGATTTTAAGACAATTATTTCCCCCTTTTTTCTTCTCAGAACTTACTCAAAGGAGAACTAAAATACAATAGGAACTCCATCTTTGATAAAACTAGAAGAAATTTGTAAATCAAAGCTAATATTCATGAAGACATAGTAAAGAGGAGATTAACTGACTTAGCAGAACAGAATAAGCAGAAACATAGAAATAAGCGAGAAACAAAGTGATCAACCCAATAGGACTCAGGAGTTATATATAGGTTCCAGGTTCAGGGGTGAGGCTTGGGTTGGAAAACAGAGAGACTGGCTGAATACCTGTGAGGAGCAGTCAGACATTTAAGACTCCATCCCAAACTGCACAGCCAGATAATTATTCTCTAAAGAGACTAAACCAGAAAGACCCTGGGCTAGAAGATATTGGGTATAGATGAGGAAGAGATAACACTAAATTGAAAATGAGGATTAAGTGAACATATGCATGATAAACAGTGAGATCCTTAGCCCCTTTTCTACTCTCAGCTCCCAAAATGCTGGCAGCCAGCATTTATAATTCACTAGACAGAAACAGGCAGATGTGTCTCTCAAGAAATTAAACAGCCACAGAGAAAAGACTTAAAGATATTGACATTTGGGGGTTCTCAAAGAAATGGAGACGCTTCTGTCCAATCACTGGTATACTAGGAATTCTAAAATGTTCCCAAGATTACCCAGCTCTGGTGTACACACTCTATATAATCTTTGGGACTGTGAATTTGATAGATTTTATCCCCATGATTAGGTTATGCTATATAGCGTAGTTGACCTGAAGATAAGAAGGTTATCTGGGTGGGCCTGACCTTATCACATGACCCCAGGAAGACCAAAGAGATTTCTTTGGCTGGTTGGAGAAAAGGAAATCAGAGATTCAAAGCACAAGGATTCCACAATGCCATGCTGATGTGAAGATGGGGGGAATGTGGGCGACCTCAAAGAGGTGAGAGCAGTTTCAGCTGACAGTCTGTATGAATATCAGGATCTCAGTCCCACAATTCCAAGGAATTAAATTCTGCTGCCAACAATAATAAACTTGGAAATGGATTTTCTTCTACAGCCTACAGATGAGAACTCAGCTTAGCTGACATCTTGATTGATTGTTAGCTATTATAAAGAAAACGGAAAAAAAAAGGGAATAAACACAGAAATGAGAAAAATGAAGCAACTATTAGCATCCTATAAAAAGGAACTCTACCTCCAAAAGTAGCTCCTTTCAGCTGAAATCTACCTTCATGTAGCATCTTTAAGCCTGGTTCTGCCTCTTCGAACCACAGAAAACAAATATCCCTTATATTCAACTTGAGTCTTCTCATCTGCAGGAGAAACATTCCCTGTTCCTCTTATGACATGTTTTCAAATAATTTCACAATCCTCATTTCTCTCAGGTAAACTCCTAAAGCAACATCAAATTTCAGGCAAATGCTAAATTATATCACTGCTACCCTGTACAGTTTTCCATACTCAAGGAAAGAACCTTGCATGTGCCCCTACTATGTTTTCATCTGTATTTGGTCAACATTCCCTTAATAATCCATTCTAGAATTTTACCCAGGATAGAAATCAAACTTAACCATGAGTCCTTCAAATATTTAGATGCTGTGTTATGAGATATTTATTGAAAGCATTATCAAACAGCAATAGGTCAGTTTTATGCTATAATGAAATCAGTTTATATGCATTGAATGTACAAAATCTAGCATTGGTTCAGGGTGCTCAAGCCATGAACAATTAATGTTCACCATATATTTATGTCCACTTTAGGAAAGTTAAGAAAATATGGTTATTTTAAATGATCATAGAGATTTAGAGTTACTATTCCCTTATATTTAAGGCATATTATATATTATGATGTTTACTCTTGGTTATGTATATAAACTCTAATTAAAACACTTCTTATGAAGACAATATAATGATGATCCACTTTACAAAAATATAATGATGATTCACTTTACAAGGTTTTAAAAGACAATCTGTGACAAAAAAAGTGGAGGGAATTATACACAGTCAATTCTTATTATTCATGGTAGTTATGTTCTGTAAAGTCACTGGGAACACTGAACTAATGAATACTGAACCACTGCTCCAAGGGGAAATACAGGGCTAGGTGCCTGAAGTCTCTGGCCACAGCATTTGCATTAACCAGTCAATACATAAGCTTGTTTTATGTGTGTTTTTATTTAAATACAATCTTATTTAATATATTATACTTGATTTATTAACATTGAACTCACAGCCAACAGCACTATAACTCATGCTGAAAAGGCTTATCTAATAATACACGTATATTCTACAAAAGGCACATCACAGCCTTTTCACATTTAGGAACACTAGATAGCACTTAAGCATTATACTTGGGGGCCATTTGAAATCACCAACAAAAGGCACAAAAATGTGGAAAATGTGGCACTAAGTAGACCATGGAAAGGACACTTGTTTACAGTATGAGAGCTGAAACAAGAAGGCAGAGAGCATCACCTCAGCGGAAAACATGCACGCAGAACAACTCAAAATTTTCACCGTTCTGTGCATTTCTATGAAAGACTGAGAAAGCACTATAATTTGGGTGTATAAATACGTTTTATAAAGTAGGTGAATTTTCAAAGATGGAATTCAGGACTAATGAAAACTAACTGTATAAGAAGTCTCTGTTTGGACTTCCCTGGTGGCGCAGTGGTTAAGAATCCGCCTGCCAATGCAGGGGACACGGGTTCGAGCCCTGGTCCAGGAAGATCCCACATGCCACGGAGCAACTAAGCCTGTGCACCACAACTACTGAGCCTGTGCTCTACAGTCCATCAGCCACAACTACTGAGCCCATGTGCCACAACTACTGAAGCCCACGTGCCTAGAGTCCGTGTTCCGCAACAAGAGAAGCCACCGCAATGAGAAGCCCACACACCGCAACACAGTAGCCCTGCTCGCCGCAACTAGAGAGAGCCCACGCGCAGCAACGAAGACCCAATGAAGCCAAAAAAAATAAAAAAAGAAGTGTCTGTTTATAAGGTTTACAACAACCTGTCAATTTTATTCTGGTAATGAAACTATGCTTGTATGAAATGTTGCATGTTATGCTCTAGAAAGTAATCCATTAACCTTTATTAATAGTCTTATACTAAATATCCAACATCAGACATTTATAATAACCGGAGTTTTTAAGAGTTATGTAGAACTTTGGAAAATTAGGCTTATTATATATGTAGAGTTTGCAGACTTACCTGCAGCTTCTAGTAAAGCTTCCAGTCTAGCTTGTGTTTCTGGATCTACTGTCCTGAGGTCTGCACCATCAGCAGTACCTGACAAGAGTAACTTGGAAGCCGTTTCCAGCATTGGATTTTCCAAATCATCCTGATCCAAAATGAAAGACTCCACCTAGAAAACAAATACCAAAAAAAGAAGAAAGGGAGGAATGAAAGGAGAAAAGGAAAGTGGGAAGAGAAATAAACAGAAGAAAAAGGAAGAGAAGAGAAAAATATTTTAACATCAAAATCAATGATAAATACAATGCAATCCTGAATAATTTCAATGGGATAGATAAGCCCACAGTTTAAAGGAGAAAATTACATTTGTAGAATAATTTAAGAATATATTATTCATATCATATGTAGTCTATTTTCTTTTCTTACTGAAATCATATGTATTCTTTTCTATTCTAATTTCATGGGGGAAGGGTAGTGTATGGGAGAGGTTATGAGGTTAATACTTAGACATGAAACCTTTGACTTTGGTAGAGGACCTAAATTAGCTGTTCTTAAATCTTTTGTTCTCAGGACACCTTTATACACCTATAAAGTAGTGCTGCTCCCAAGGACTTCATATAAGGGTTATATTTATTAATATTTACTGTATTTGAAATCAAACTACAATATCAAAAAATCAAAACATTAATATCACTACTGGTTTCATTACAAAAGTTTTTAAGTACTGGAACGCTGTCAAGCCCAGGCAAATAAAATTTCCAAAATTCTAGTTTGTGCTTGAAAGCTTAATTTTATCATTGGTGACAAATACTGTTGATTGTTTCCCTTAAAGGCTCACTCGATCATTTCTGAGAACATTTGCCAAATGCCCAAGTTTGATAGGCATAGCGTGTCTGTCTTTTATATTTTTCCAGCAAAAAAAGACATTTCATGAAAAAAAAAGTGGACTGTTCACCTCACATCTCAAAAAAGCCCAAGTGCTTTTCCCTCAAACACCACCATACTTTCATATGCATAAGTGCTTTATGTGTTCCTCCCATTTTGTCACACAATAACATTAAAAGGACATGTATTCAAAAGTGGAAATTTCAAAAAATTAATATTTATTGCTCTATCAAGATTATTCTTCAGGTGAAACTGGTTTTTCATTTTATTTTTTTAACTGTGAGTATATATGGCAGTGATAACTACAATGATACTAGCACAATTTTGTGCCATGGCCTTAAGAGGCCAGCAGTTTTACCTACCATTGCTTTTGTATCATCAGTGCAAATATCAACCCAGTAAAAAGGCAAGTAACATATTAGTATTGTGATGAAAACATTTTTGACCTCTTGAACATCCTGAAATGATTTCTGGGAACTTGAGAGGGCTGCAGACCATACACTGAGAACCACTGATACAATAACATACACCAGATTCAATTAAAAGAAATGTAAAGAATTAGAAAATAGCAACTCTTAAGACATGGGGAAAAGTTTTGTTTTGACATCCCTTGTCATAGTGCTACTTACAAATAGGTATAAAGATATAATTCTTTACAGTTTGCTGATAAAAAGTTGATAATTATTATATAAAATATCACTAACATGATCAGGTGAAATTTATTTCACAAGTCTAAAGTACTTCTAACACTGTAATAACTAAAATAGATATAAAAGTTATTAATAACCTAGAATACAATTACCCTCATGCCTAGTATCTAGCTGTCAGAAATAAGATTTAAAAACTTCAGAAATAAATTCTTAACCAACATAGCATCAGAACTCTATTGTTCCATCTTTAAAAGTCACCTGTCTAGCAACCAGGCATAAATCCTATATCAATACATATTTAATACTGAATGTTAAATTTAGGGGGAAATAATATGCTTCTTTCTAAATTTCCATTAAGCTAATGCAGTTTAATATGAAATAACATTTCAGATTTCTAATATTTCAAATATAAATAGACACCGAATACTCTGAAAATAATCTCCGTAAATATTTGAAAATTTTCAAGAATTTTGCTCTATATTAACCTTAAAAATCTATATGATAGGAAGGAGTTAAGAAAAAAACAATAATGTTTTTTAAACTTTATTTTTAAAGGCAGTAGTGAAAGCCTAAGTGTTATACATTAGGAAGGGGACTTTTCAGCATGGTTTGGTCATAGACACATGTGATTCAATATTATAGCCTGGTAAAAACTATGTCCTCCTATCTTTAACCATGGTCCAGACAATGAGTCTTTCTAGAGAAAAAGGTGCATCCCAATGAAATTTTCTCTGTTAAAATATCTACAATTTTTCAATCCAATGGGAGAAGACAAAAAAAAAAGAGAGAGAGGAAATAATCATGGAAAAATGAACACAGGTTAAAATGAACAGGTGAAAAATTAAATAATGTTTCAGATTAAGGTTTTAGAAAACAAAAGATATCAAAGAGCAGTGCAAAGTGCCAAACCAAAAGTACAGATCAAAGGTACTAAGACTGTTTGAAGGAGACAATGCATGCAGAAAGAATATGAAAGGATTTTGACCAAAATAACTAACATATAAGAAAAAAGGAGAAGAAGGAATGTAGCACTGGTAGACAAGCATAAAATTTCTATATGCTAGAATACAGGGTTTACTATAGGAAAAGTCGGAAAGCTACAAGTTAGATCACAGAAGGTATTAAATTTCAATCAAAAGTGATTTGCTGACACAAGGTCCCCTTATGCCATATTGTATCTTAACTAAGTTTGGTGAAAATTTACTAAGAAAAATGCATCTCTATCTTTTCATGAGGGATACTAAGTGCAGAAGAAATATGTTTTCTTATTGATTTAAAACGTCTCCATAAAAGTTCTTTTTTTTTGGCCGCGCAGCACAACTTGTGGGATCTTAGATCCCTGATCAGAGATCCAACCCGTGCTCTCAGCAGTGAAAGCCTGCAGTCCTAACCACTGGACCGCCAGGGAATTCCCATCCATAAAAGTTTTCATATTGATTTTTAAAGCCCACTATTCTTGATATGTGAAAAACTTGATAACTTAAAAATCAGTAGATTCAAGTGACTATGAAATACTATATATAGATTTTTTAAAAGACATTAGGATGAAAGAAAAGAATAGGAATGGATGTTTATTATATTCTCTCCCACCCCACCCCCCCAGTTTAAGATTAATGAAGAATAAACTAATTTCAAGGATACTGTTAGGATCTAAAGACCTAGGTACCATTTCTGCTTCATCTGCTACCTGTGAGACCTAACCAAGTCTCTCAGCCATCTCTAGATGCTTATTCTGCGTAATTTTTTCATGAATTTTTCACATGACTTATTATATATATTTACTGTCTTTCTAAACTCCATGGAAATAGGCACTTTGGAGCACTGATACATATACAGCAACTAGAACTATGCTCATCACATTGTCAGGACTCAAATAACTCTTGAATAAATAAAAGATGATTTGGGGACCCTTCCCTTTCAGATTCTAAAATGTTGCAGTGTATTTGGAGAAGGGAGAGGTAGTTACAAAAAATAAATTTAAAGGTATATTTTATAGATACAGAAAAATCAAATATTAGGTAGCAGGTAGGGAAAAATGCTATCTTCATTGATTTATTAAACCTTTATTACAAACAGTCTTTGTACAAGAGATACTGATGTTTACTACTATGAGATGTGTAAAATTAAGCCTACTACCTAGGAGCTTGTTTCTTTAATGTGAGAGTAAAATTATACAATAACAATAATACAAGGTAGAAAGTGCATAAGATGAAGAAAGGAGAAAAAAAAAGAGCCATAGGAGTTCTGAAGAGGTAGCAGAAGAGGACTTCCTCCTTTAACACCAATTCCTCTTTTCCCACCTGGAAAAGTTCTTGTGCTACATTACAGAACAAGTAGAGAGACTGATATAAGGAGATGCAGTCTTATAAAAATACAAAAATAAGTAATCCTTTATTCAAATGTCAACTAAATTATGGGCATATACCTCTTTAACATGTCCTTAGTTGAGGAAATTCAGATTGAAAACTAAAATGCATTTTCCCATTGAAACCTAACTCATTTTTATCATATTATTTCTATAGAAAAAAATTCATTTTGAATAATGGCCAAGTTCCGGAACATTAAAAATGGTCTGAATAAGAAATTCACATAAATATTCTGAAACATTTTCCTTAAATGAAATGTATAAATAACTTTCCTGAAGAGTGGAGAGACAGAAGGAAAGGGATGTCCTTATTAAGTTTATTCATCCTTAAGGGAAATAATGTCAAAGTTATCAATATTCAAAGCATGACAATTTAAGTTATATCTAAACTATTTTGGATGTGCTGTTTTGACTAGCTGGATATTTTATGAAATGGTGTTTGTGCATAAAATTCTGGTCTAATACAAAGAACCATCAAAATGCAAGGGTCTTAGAAATCACCACGTTCAATTCATTGCTACAGATGAAAAAACAAAGCACAGGATCCGTATATAAATAGCAAGTTTCTACATATCTAACACCAAGAGATCAGTTATCCAATTAACAAGTTCAATATTCTTTCCACCAGAAAAAGAGGCTGTTGTTTGACTCTGCTCTAGAAAAGCTGACTTTAAATTCTATATTTAAGGGATAAAGCTGTTAATACCTGAACCCAATGTTTAATTACTAAAAGTGAGACAACCAAACATTATATGCCCCTGATTTATGCAACCTAAAATACACAGTACCTCCTATGAAGTACTCTTGCCTCCCTGAAATAACTTCCAGTTTATAAAAATTATTAAGGCAAATATCAGGAAAAATTTAAATCAGGGCTCCTCAATCTTGGCACCATTGACATTTTGAGCCAGATAATTCTTCGTTGTTGGGAGCTGTCCTATACATACACTTCAGGATGTTCAGCAGCATCCCTGGCCTCTACCCACTAGATGCCAGTAGCAACCCTATCACAGGTTGTGATACTAAAAATACCTCCAGACATTGCCAAATGTCCCCCTGGAGGAAAAAAAAAACAAAACCCTGGGGGTGGGAAACTGGGAACCACTGAGTTAAACAGAAGCACACAGACTAAACTAAAATCTAGAACATGTTTTAAAAGAGAGAGAGAGACAGAGACAGTAAAAGGGAAGAACCGTTCTAAATTAAAGAAATTCCAGAGACATAACCATCAAAATAATATAGACCTTATTTGAAATTTTCAAGGAAAATGAA